CTACGGGACTCTACGGGACTCTGCGGGGCTCTACGGGCACTCTATGGGACTCTATGGGACTGTACGGGACTCTACGGGCACTCTACGTGACTCTACGGGACTCCACGGGACTCTTTGGGACTCTACGGGACTCTACGGGCACTCTACGTGACTCCACGGGACTCTACGGGACTCTGCGGGGCTCTACGGGCACTCTACGGGACTCTACGGGACTCTACGGGACTCTACGGGACTCTTTGGGACTCTGCGGGACTCTGCGGCGACTCTCCGGCACTCTTTGGCAACTCTCCGGCACTCTACTGTACTTAACAACACTCAGCGGCAGTGTACGGCCTTCGATAAGGCTTGGAAACACTTGAAAAACGCGCGAAAACGATCGATAACGCTCGACAACGCTCGAAAAACGATCGATAACGCTCGAAAACGATCGATAACGCTAGTAGGGAAATGTAAAAATCATACGCGAAAGGACTCGGCTTATATTCGCAGTTAGGTAAGCCTCCGGAGGATTTTTCGCAGATTCGACTCTCACGCATACTCAACGACTCGACCCGTAGCTTGGCGCTTGGCTGGTTGGGACGCGCGAAGATTTCCAGGTGCGATCGACTCACACAGATTCGCTGCTTGAGAGTTCCGTACGCGACACCGATGCATGCCCCAAAGCTCCGCATCACGTCGACTTCGAGGCAACAATGTACTTAATAGTGGTAGATAAGTAGATAAATTCAAATGGAGCGTCACGAGTGTTCTTCCCTTACCATGAAAAGTGAGCAGTGTCGGTAAGCGTAGGTAAGCCACCACCGTCAACTGCCGCATGGTATTACCACCACGAGTACGTGAACCACCAACGGCGACTGGTAGACGGTACCGCCATCGCGAGTGTGCGAGCTCCTATGAGAAATTCGTTGCGCCGCCCTTGAGGCAAAAAACGGTGAAAGCTAACGTACGAAACCAGAGGGCAGCACAGGATGCGATCGCACGATCCTGCCCGTGAGCAATCTCCGAACTCATCTCTGCCATTAATCGCGATCTGGTCCCGTTGAAACAAAATGGCGGACTTTGCCGCCGAAGAAGGTGCAAACTTCCACATTGGGTCCCGATGTGATCTCGAGAGACTGGGAACCCTTACACGGTGCTCGAAAAAGTAGGACGTTTAAGAGGGTCGTTTATCATTTTCAAGGATATCGAGGAGAGGTGATTTCTTTGATTTCCAGCTGAGCGGAGCAGTTCGACGCAGACGTCGACCGTTCGAGTTGCGATAATTTCTAGACTCGTGGATAGGCTTCTATTTCGGTCCCGGTTACGATACGATATGCGGATGATTCAGGCCGAAGTTCCCGGCGGATATTTAAATGGAAATTTACATCGATCTCCCAGGCTATCGGGGGTAGACCGAGGGAGGTGCGCGTAGAAAAAGGTGTTTGGGGGAATGGTATCTCGTTAAATATTTTCATACCGACAACCTCCAACCGGGCATGGGACTTCTATTTCGGTGGCGGTTTCTGCGCAGCGATGAATCAGAGTAAAAACCCGGCCGGCATTGAAATAGAAACCTGGATAAATCCGTCATCTGGTTGGAGGGAGAGAGAGAGAGAGAGAGAGAGAGAAAAAAAAAGGAATTGACCCATGGCACCTTTGAGCGTTATCGGGGTCGCTCTGGTGGGCGGTTTAAAAATAAGCGCGAAAGCGCAACCGGAGATATCGATTACGTTTTCGGTCAATGTACACGAAGAGACCTCCAAGGACACGCGTACAAAGTTCGCCGGCAATCTCTTCTTCTCGGTTATCTGCATGTAGTGCATCGAGCGAGATGCGTCTCCCTCTCTCTCTTTCTCGTTATTTGTAAGCGCATCCTGCTAGGAAACATGACCGATAAGTCGGAATCACCGAGATATATACGAGATACGCGTCGTAAAGGCGGGTTATCCTTATCTGGGAATCTCTTTGATGTCGGGCGTTATCGCGGCCCGATAAGGCAACCCAGGATTCCGGATACTCCGGAGAGGAATCCATGGAGGAATCCATGGAGGAATCCATGGAGGGTCTCATTAGGGATGAATCCGTTATTTTTTCAGAGCTCGGCGAGTGGTCCGTCTCCGATGGCCGCCCTGATGTCGGTCGCCGACAATCTGACGTCGCCGGAGCCGGTGCCGCAGCCTTCGAACAATTCGAGTCCCACCAGCCGAAGTCCACCCACAACGGCTGCCAATGCTCAGCAACAGCGCAGCACGTCTCGAGGCTCGCAGCACAGTCCCAACGGATCAGGTGTGAGAGTCGTTGAATTCGGAGGGCCGTTTATTTCCCTCGGCCGCGGTTCTTCGGATTTCGTTGATCTATCGAGGGGTTCCCCGTTGTAGGAAATTCGGGCAGGAGGCCCAGCGGCTCCAGGCACGTCTCCTCGACGACGCCCACCTCGACGGAGGGCACCGTCTCGCAGACGGCAGGAGCCGAGCCGGTGTCGGCGCCCACCCTGAAGTGCACCCTCTGCCAGGAACGCCTCGAGGACACCCACTTCGTCCAGTGTCCCAGCGTGCCCCATCACAAGTTCTGCTTCCCCTGCAGTCGAGACAGCATAAAGAGGCAGGGGGCCGGCTCGGAGGTAGGTTCCCCTGTAAGAAAACGACCGGAGGTGGAATTGGACCCCTCGGTCTCTCCGTCTCAACGGCGGCAGCCTTCTTCGTTTCCGGCCGCCCGGCGAGCCCTTCGCCGGAGCTCTTATACCCCTCTTCTTTCCCCCCAGGTGTACTGCCCCAGCGGGGAGAAGTGTCCACTGGCCAACAGTCAGGTGCCCTGGGCCTTCATGCAGGGGGAGATCGCCACCATCCTCGGGGAGGACACCACCGGCTCCGGGTTAAAGGTCAAAAAGGAGCGAGAGACTTAAGGGAGGCGACCTCGTCGCGAAGGTCGAGGCTCAGATTGTCCACTCCGAGGTGTCGGAGTGCGTTTTTGGCGAAACCGTGAAGGTTTGCCAAAGTGATCTTTGGTAACGCTCTCACGGCCAGTTGGCTCCGATGGGGGGAGGGAGGGCCAACTTTGCGGATCGAGCCGAAGACGTTGTCGGGGCGAATCGGAGGACCGGGGCACTTTTTGGGGCCGCCTTTGGGATCCTTTTCCGGTTCCCTCTCGTGGTGGCCGGCGGGGCTTTTTTTCCTTCTCGGGAGGAACCGAGCGTAGGCGGGTCTTGAGCAGGAGTAGTCTTCGGCCGGCGACGGTCCTGTACATAAGGAAGGGCGACGAAGGGCGCGATTCGCCCGAGGGGAGAGGCGCCCATGGCGGATACTTGTCGGATATATTTGGCGCATCCAATGCGCGGTAAACTCTCGTGCCCTTGTTTGGGTTTGTACTTAGACCCGGTCGCCTCTTTTTTCCAGTTGTCTTTGTACGTCGCGGGCGGGGTCGCGGCGAGGACCGACTCCTCGGCCGAATCCTCGCCGTTGGTCGCGATTACTTTATGCCTTACTCTTTTTACCAGAGATTCCCTCGGATCGATCGGATCGATCGGCTCGCGTTTCGTTCGTACGACCTTTCCACCCTGCTCGGTGTATCGTAAGCACGGCGGACACACACCTTCGAACCCTGCGCCACGGGTTTTTCTGTACATTGTGTATATGTGTACATATATTAATAAAACGTACGATTAAAAGATTAACCACTCTTCAATGTACAAAACTGGTCATTTCTACTCCGTACTCTTTAAATTATTCCGTTTAGGCACGCGCGCGACACTTCGACGTTCCGTCTTTCTCTCTCTCCGTCTCTGGACATTCTCTCTTTTTAACGAACGGCTCTCGTTATAGAAGCGTCGAGACATGTCCTCTTCTTCCAGTGGCACGTAACGAGCCGTCTCCTCGCGGGACTCCTTTTCGAGATCCTTTGCGAACGCGTACAACGGGCTATCCAACGGTGTAGCGATTCACTTCCACCTTCGCCTTTTAGTTTAACGTTAGTTCTTAAGTGAGAGGGCCTTTTAGTTTTTCATTTTCTCGACGAAATGGAAGGAAGGTACGCCCCCCCCGAAAGAATAGGAACCACACACTCGCTATGTCTGAGAATTAAATGGAGCGCGTCTCGCTGCCGTTCGGGCCTCTTTTGTTTCGAGGAACGAGCTCCTCGCGAAGTCCCGGCCCGTGCAGCTCCTCTTGTATATACTTGTACAAACGATGGACGATCGATTAAGATCCGTAACTACGTATTGTATACACGCATCCTGGGTGCGCACCGAGTACCACGTGGCCCCGAAAGACCGTCATTTTCGACGCGGCCCGACCTTGGACAGCCTCGAGTAATTCTTGCCATTTTGATATTAACTCGTGTTTTGACTCCCGAGTCCGGGTACTACGAGGTCACTTGTGAATTTTTATCCTACGCGGGTGGGACCACGTGGTACGCGACGCGTCCTCCATCAAATCGCAACGCCCCTCGAGAGGCGTCTGCAAATATGGTGCACGATTATGGTCTCTCTCTTCTTCTCTTTTCGAGGCCGCACTCGAGCTTTGCAAACGCTCTCTCGACCAGGCCGATCGTTCGTTTCATCCGTCGAATGCCGTTTACTTCGTACTTCGCCCGCGGATGGCGCGGATGGCGCGGATGGCGCGGATGGCGCGGCTGCGCAAGGAGAACTCGGTCTCGTGCCTGATGCGAGAACAAAGTCAGAGATTACGATTCGCAGGCTCTTTTTTAAACCGCTGACACGTGGAAGCGAGAACGCGTAAGAGACGAGGCTGATGCATCGTACATTTTTCTTTTTCCACCGTTGAAAGCAAGATCCGTAACGACGTTGAAACGCCAGGCACGGTATACCGAATTTATGGAAATTAGTAAAGAGTGGAGGGAGTGAAAAATTAAAGTTAGCCATATTTTTGCTATTTCGATTTAACTTTCACTTATCTACGGATGTATCGTTTATTTTATCGTGCCTCGCTTCGTACACGTTCTTGCTCATTTTTGTACGCGGGTTTTCGTACCGTCTCCGTAGTTCCTACCCACGGCGCCTTCGCCAGGTGCATCTAAGAGTTGTGCCGAATTTTCGGAGGCGAAGAGTCCGCTCCGTTGGTTTTTTTTTACGTGGAAGTTGCTCGACCCCCACAAGACTTATCTATATTTGCATACTACGGATGTCTTCGGTGTTTCTTTCTCCACGCGCCGCGAGCAGGGTGCGTTCTTTTTTTTTGTCGGGCCCGGATTTGGGCCGAAAAAGAGATGCTCCTTGTTCGTAGACCCGAACCCAGGAATCCGCATTTCGTGCGACCGGGAAAGATGTGCCAACTCGACGGACGCGTTGTCACCAAATCGACTCGACCGGATCCACGGAAATTCGAGGTCGGGATTTTTCTTTTTCCGGTGCATCGCGGACTGAGCGGGCACACCTTCCAGGGGGACCCCACGGGTCTTCCACCTAACTTCGTACGATTCATACTTATTTTCTATGATTACTGTACGACGCTACACGTAAAACATGAAAGTCACCCGCAAGAACGATACGTCGATTAGCCATGTAGTAGCGGATAATAGAATTTTCTAGTGTACCATACCTCTCGAGGAACACGTAATAATGTACCGTTTATCGTATGTATGCAACAAGCAAGAGACAAAATATATGTGTTGATGTGTAAGTGACACGTGGCGTTGAATTTCACCCCCGGACCCCACCGACTTAATTATTAAGAATTTTTTTTTTTAAAGTAACGTTTCGAGGGGAACGATCATTCTCTCTTCGGCAATTTTTTATTCCTGGTTCTCATTTCAATAACGCGACACGAAATGTCATATGTACCGGATCGAATCTTAAGGTGTTTTGAAATCCATTTCGTCTGGTCAGGGAAAAAGAAATTTAAACGATCCCACTTCAAGCGCCGGTAACTAAATCTACAAACTCGGAGAGGAGGAAGATACATAAACCGAATCAGAGGAAATTGTTTAAATAAAAATAACGCACCCGAAACGTCAAACCTTTGGGCGCAGCCGATCGAGGGAAGTAAACAACGTTTCAACGGCGGAGGGCGGAAAAACAATTAACTCGAGTAATTTGGATTAAACGGTGAAAATAATTGGCTTCGCGTCGAACGTTAAAATCGAGTTTAGCCCTGGAGCAAGACGTGTATATAGACCAGGGGGGTAACACGTGACGTTTGCTACCGATTTCACTACGTCGCCCAGTGGCTGAGGGGTGCGGACTTTGAAAATCAATGCCAATGTTCAGCAGCGGTGGGTCGTGGGATGTTTGGGCAAGAGAATCCAGCACGGCATATTGATCCAGGGTGGTCCAAACGGCTTCAACGCCGTGCAGGCTGCACCTCTCTCTGAAGAATTTCGTCTTAAAGAAGATATCCTTCTCTGGGGTGATCGACATCGAGCCGTCGAAATTGAACATTGCTCTCAAAATTCCTCCCCTCGCACAGGTTCCTTATTTTCGGCCCCAGGACCTCGTCAATGATTATTAAAGTTGCCAACTAAAAAATTCTACACTATATATGTGCATAAATTTAAATCACAACGTTAAGTTCGTTGACAAAAAAGAAATTATGCGGTTCACTTTCATGATTTTGGGCACCATTAAACGGTGCCACGTAAGTTACCATTTTTTTCATTTTCCGTCGCTGGAAATTTTTACTATTTCGTCAAGAGAGTCCTGTGGGCGTATTGTTTCACTTTCCTTGGAAAATTGTCCTTCGTGTATGCGATACTGAGGAATTATTAAAGGGAAAGCGGGGAGTGGGCGGATCTTTTTCCCTAGGATTGCTTTCACGAAATAAAGCGTAAGAGTTAAATGTTTCTCCGGGCTTGACAGGACAATGGGCCTCCGCTGAATCGACATTGTCTGGCAGGGTCGCAGTCTTATTATGTCATCGTCTTTAAGGTTCAACACACTCGTTTCTGCTCCGTATCGATTCGGCAGAGACCCAACCAAACTCGAGACGAACGCGTTGCACAAAGGAATTAATCAATTCGTTCCCCCCCGTCCCCCTTATGGTGATTGCATTATCACGTGTTACTAAAAGCACGTGAAACGGAAGACTCGCATCCATTATTCACCCTGCTGGCCCTCCAAAAAAAAGAGACAATTTTTAACAACGACCTATCGTCTTCGAGTTTTTCCACTTTTTCCCGTGAAATTTAAAGTCGAAGGGAGAAAATATTTTGACCCGCTCCTCGCACAATAGGAATTTTTCTGGGGGACGAGGGACAACGATGCCCCTTTAATGCTTCTTCTCGGAGAGGATGCCGACGAAACGAACGTCCTCTCCTCTTTAAGGATCAATATACACGACGCGCACGAACCCTCGGAGATATTTCGCGGAGTAGCGAAATGCGCGAATCAATTTACTCATCGGCTGCGCCTGCGATGTTTAAAAAATCGCGACATCGTCGAGGAGAAAATTCAACCTCGAGGAACCAAAGCGTCGAACTCCCTCGGAACTGAAATAAGACGGGAAGTGTTCCTGAGAATTATTCGGAAACGAATTAATTAACGCTCGTGGTTATATCGATACTCGTTGCAAAAACCACATATCTTCCGCAGGCGGCGCTTGAATGGAATGAAATGGATCGGATTTATATTCTTAATTTCAATCTATTCTAGCCTTCTTACCGGGACGCGTGAATCCGGTCGGAAGGGTTAAGCGTTAAGCATGGTTTCCCTGGTAAATTTGCGAGGATACTCAATACTCAAACGACGTGTTCCTCGGCGCATAAATGATCGTTAAGCGACCGGGGAGGGTGGAGATAATTTACGATCCACGTTTTAGACTCGGCGTTGCAATCTCTCATGCGCTCGTGTGGTCTCGTGTTGCAGGACGGAAGTGGAGCCCGTTTCGTCGAAACCGGGCACGAATCGCCCCGACACGTGCACTGATCTCCGTGTACCCGTTAAATGCAGACCCGACCAGGCCATAGGATGCGTCAAATGTCCGCAACCGGAAACGGCGGATCCTCCGGCGACGTGGAGGAACTTCCCTCTTCCGGAGAACCTGGGAGAATGCTCGGTATCCTTTTTGTCCGCGTCTCTAAAAACGTACATTTCGACGTTTTCACTTTTCTTTTTTAATGCTCAAGAGCAAATACGTATAATTGGTATCTCGTCATGCGGATATTACTCACATTTCCAGTAATGCAGTAATTATTTCCAGCACCGCTCCACAAGGACCCCGACGTCCTTAAGGTCCAGAAGTCCAGTCCTGAGTCCGGAGACGTTGAATGCCCTGGAAAACGCGGAAAGACTCGTTAAGGATGCCCAGAAAAAAATCGAGGAAGTCAGTCTAGGAGCGATATCGACTCCGGATGATAAAAGTGCCAGCGGGTGAGACCGGAGGGTGGCCAATAAAGCTGCACCGATATTGCTGCCGATATTTCAGGATTAACGATCCAATTCTGTCGCAGGCATGCCGTACACTCGATTCCGGACGACACTTTGCTGCACGTGCGGGAAATCGTCGAGAGTAAGCTGCGAGGGGAGAAAAATCCGAAAAGCGAAGACCCCGCGTCTCGGGATTACACCTCTGCGGATTCGCGAAATCCGGATCAGCTGACCAGGCTCAGGGCGAGCGAGCGGCCGGGGAATTCGAGGCAGAATTCCGAGACGGGTGTGAATAGAATTTCGGAGGGAAATTCTGGACCCAAGGGACGACCGTACGCGACCATCGGTACCACTTTGGGAGGGAGAGAGAAGTCACGTCTTCTCGATGGGAAAATTTCTTCGCCGAGTCGCGAGCATCCTGAAAGCGATATCTCAAAGGACGTGGCGGACCGAAGGCTCGACACCTTGCGGATACAAAAAGGACCCGAAGTGGATATCCAGAGGGAATTGATAATCCAGAAACTCGAGGAATTGCACATTTGTCCGGATCCGTCCATCGTGCCAGATATGAAAAATGTCGGCGTTTACGAATTCCAACATCCGTCGTGCCGGAGAGATGATGTCACGAGTGAATTGGGTAAATCTACATTTTCAAGGCAACGCGATATCAACAAAGGTGCTGAAAGATGTCGAATCGACGCGATGGTGCAGACGAAGGTTCCTTTCGGAGATTTAGTTATTAATGCACGGGGAATAAACAAGGCTGTGTCCCTTGAAAATGACACGTTAATAAGACCTACTCGAACCGTACTGCGGAATAACGATCAGGGGTCAAGGTCGCCCGAATTGTCCGATAAAAGAGTCCATTTTGGAGATCACTCGCGAAAATTATATCTCGAGGAGACCACGACCCAAGTGGCGGATAACGGAGAAGTATCATCAAGGGATCGGAAAAGTGACGAAATCGTTGAAAAACCCGTTAATGAAAGTGCCGGGCAGTTTAGTGGCGCAAAAGATGAAACCTCCAACATCGATAGAGAGACGCGGACGAATATCAGAAGGACCGAAACTGTCGACGTTCGGACTGGCATCTCAGAAATGACGAGTAACAGGAAAATCTTAGAAACCTGGACTCCCCTCGAAACCTCCGATAAAGGAGTACAGGTGATCAAACGTGTAAGAGACAAAACCGAGGACGAGAGTACCAATTCCTTTTCTTCGTTTCTACCCGACGAGAAAGAGAAATTCGACCTCGATGACATCACTTTGACCCCTCCCGAATTTTCAGACCTAGATAAAGCTCTGGAGTCCTACAACAAGACCATGAGGCACATTGTTCACGGCACGGAAGAATTATCTCGAATTTTCTCGCGATTCAAGACTTTAGACGACACGAGGCACGACCCTCAATTTTTCCCTTACGAGAAAAATGATATCGATGCATTACCAAGCTCGAGTATCTTATCAAATGGAAATAAAGTCCCGATAAACTCATACGAGGCAGTCCCACCAAATTCATTAATTATATTAAAAAGAGATCACGCAGTGGTACCTTCAATATGCCCAAATGCATTGCAAAATCCGCCAGACATTACCAGAGACCCGAACCAATCATTAAAAAATGGTCCCTGGGATCGGAGCGTTATCACTGGTAATCGCTTCCAAAAATCAAGAACCACTCGTAACAACGACGAGCCTGCATTTTTATCTCTACCGAGTGTTGCTTGCAGCAGTCCCGATTCGATCAAGGAAGATCGCATCGATAAGAAGCATTTGAGATTGGACAATCGAAACCAGAGTAGAGAAATGGCGTCCGATTGCAGAGTGGATCAATCGGTCGGAATCGGATTTGATAACGGCAAGATAGACGGGAATTTTCGTCCCCTGGTTGCAGAGTCTGTATATTTGCAGACTGGGATTCCTTGTCAGGAGACACCGAACGATAATCTTGACACCTTGTACAACGTTCACGACAATCGGTGCAGATATTCCTTATCGATAAGAGGACCCCACGTAGAAGACAGAGGTATTACCGGGGACCTGAAAAAGGAAATAATTAGCGCTCTCGATACGTTCGACCATGAAGACTGCGACATACTTACACAGGTACTCGATGCACTCAAGTACTCTTCGAAGGCCACGAAGAGATTCCTTTCTTGGCTTTTCGACAACGCCGAGTCCATGGACGATGACGAGGTCGTGCGAGTCCTCCGAGAAGTTGCGATAAATCCTGTTACAGAGCAGAAGTTTCGTAATATATGGCACGAAAAACACCGGGGACGCGTTGATAACATCTTATCCCATAAATCCTGCGGGGCGAATTCACATATTGACGCAAGGAACTGGAGAGTTATGTACAAACTCGCTAAATTTCTCGCCGAATTTATGGACAGGACGACAGAAAATTCCGCATTCGCCCAAGCCGATAATCCGAAGGGCTCGGTGGAGTTGTACAAGAAGTTGCCTATGAAGGAGGGAGACAAGTCAAATGTATCGGGAAGTAATACCGACGAGGTCCCGACGAACTCGAAATCTGGGAATGCATCAGTTGTCGATGAGAAAGATAGTTGTGGCGATAGACACGCAATTACTAAAGACAGTGCAACAGCTGTATCCGATAGGGAGGACTCGGTTAATCCGCTCGAAAATCAGGATACAGACATTTCCGATCATTTAGAATCGTCCAATCATTTTTCACAAGACGGTCGAGAGAAGGAAACGTTTGGTAGCCAGTCAATAAATGAATTAAGCATGTGTCTGGAAAGAAACTGCCCAAATGTACAAGCGGATACTGTCAGAGAGGATGAAGAAGCTCAAAACGAATCTGTCATCGCAGAAATAAACCTCGACAGTCCTCGTGAAGAAATCGAAGCTTCGGATGTCAAAGACATTCGAACGTCGAGGGAAAATAATAAGATTTCGCGTTTGGATGAAATTCTAGAAAAGAATTCAGGACTATCGTATTCCTCTTTTAGCAATCTCAGTGTTCAGCCTGATAAATCTCTTCGTGCCGATGTCCATCGTTCAGATCAAATCAGAGAATTGTCACCCGTTCACTCAAGTGAAATTCCGATTACTCAGGACACTTTCGCAGAAGATAGATCTCTTTCTTTGGATGCTGGAAAAAATTCAGGAATGTCATCTTTAGGACTTATTAAAGATAATACCGCGTCTGGGAATTATTTCGAGACTCACGATAAGGAATCGAGTGAGCAGGTCATGGACGAATCGTTGAAAAATCGTCCTAATGGTGGTGTCTTGATTTCAAATAATATTTCTTTGAAGAAACCGACATTTAAAGGGAATGAAACTGATTCCACGATGTCGACCACCAACGAAGATATTTCTCGGCAAGGTGCTCTGCAAGAAAATACAAAAGTTGATCGATATCAAAATTCAATGCCTATTGATATGCCGAAAGACGAAGAAATTGACGTTTCACTTGTCCGAAAAAAAGAATCGGACAGTCCTGTCTTCAAACAAGATATCAGCGAAGGTTCAATAAAGATGTGAGTAGTTTAATACAAAAAAAAAAACATGGACTGAAATAATTTTATGACATTTTTTTCCAGATGGAAAAAGCAAACGTTAGCGAGCGATCGTGGCAAAGTAAGTACATTATTTTCGGGAACATTTTTAAACGAGGCCTCAGCGAAATTTGATATCTTGGTGCAAACTGATAACGCTCCTACAAAATTGAACGTGTCCATTCAATCATCCCTAATGGCACTCTTTCCATCTTTTCGAAAAAGAAACCTTACTTGCCAAGAAGATTGTCCGAACGATGAACATGCCAATCGTTCCAAAAAGATGGTCTCTAAAGGTCAAGAAAATAACGATAATTTGAATAAAGTGCCGAGAGAAAGTGAATCGAATTCTGCCGACGATGTTACAAATATTGATCTCGAAAATGTCCATGTCCGTAATGGAAAATCTAATGACCATAAAACCGTAAACGGCAAGAATGTGATATTAAAAATGAACGCAGTAGAAATGGTGGACTCCATCATGGAGAAAAACATGTATGGAATTACAAACGCCATTAACAAGAATTTTAGGCTTAAAATTGTCGACCACTTTTTGGGTAAAAGAAAGTTGGAAGAAATTGATATGTTAGGTCGTAATGGAAAAAACGTGACCAACTATTACGCGAAGGAATCGTGGCCGATAAAGAGTGCATCCGGTTCATCGGCAGAAAAATGGGAAAGCACTGCTTTGAGCACTTTAGACGAATTCGGATATCCCGGAAATACGAAAAAATTCCTAAATTCCTATCCCTATTGCAGAAGCAATTTCTTTACTATATTATATTTTTTCTTTCTATTTCAGGACACATCTTCGGAAACGCTTTCGGAAGGAGAACTAAACCTGCCCAGTTCGTGCTCGTTTTCTCTCGGTGAAATAAAAGTCTTACAAAGCAGCACGTCGACGGGAAAGACTTTCGAAGAATTCGATGGCACGAGCCATTTAATTGTAAAGAATTCGTCGAATCATGCGAGCGACACCAGCAATGTAAGACATATTTACTCGCCCGTTTGTACAATTTATACAAAATACAAGCTACAACGTACGAAAATCTATTTCCTTCCAGTCTCTGCCAAGAAGTTTGGGGGAAGTCTACAGACCTGGATCCGACTCCACGGAAAGTAAGTTTTTGCGTCTGCTCTTAGAAAAACAGATTTTGCGCCTCTTACGATGTAACGATGTTTGCAAGAATTCTAATAAAGCATTTCATTTAATTAAACAGTTTCAACCGAAGCTTCGACGGACGCGGAACAACCGGAGAGCAAACACTTGCAATTACGCAAGATTGTATGATGAAGAATTACTCACACCTACTCCACGGGTTTATCATCGGCTATAAATTGACGGAGCAGTTAATTCGAAGGCCTCTTTCTAAAATGATCACGGCCAGTAGTAACTTTTAGCAATAAAATATTTCACCCCACGTATTATCTTATCTGAACTGATATTAAGTTATAAATTCAAATTAGTATCTGAAAACAAGCGCTCGCGATTAATAAACGATCGAGTCGATTTACATTCCAATCGCCGTTGTATCGCACCTATTAATTAAAGAAGCTTTCAATATTACGTGTATTACAAAATTCAAAGGAATTGGATTTTCAGTGAGTTTAAAAATAAGTGTAGTAAATTGTTCATACCTTTATTGGAACGCTACGTTACCGTGAAGCTAACCATGTATCTTAATTACCTTCGGTTTCATTGACACGATAAGAAAATGTAATAACAGTTCCTGGAATAATTAAACAATTGATTCACATCACGTGATCGTTAATCTTCGATCGCTATTGGTTAAGACCCTGAACTCGAAGATTCTGCGGAGTGTCAAATCGAACAAAGCCAATTCCTTTTATGATTCGTGGGCGCGCCTTTTGTTTCCTTTCCTGGTCATATGATAGTCCACGAGACATTGAATCCATCGAGAACATGTTCATTTTTTCCTGAAGGATATCGATGTCGACATTGCGGCGCCTTGAAAGCCGATAACGCCTTTGAACATAAAACAGAAGGAAGAAACAAAGTTGCACAAATTGCTTTTCTCTCGGCATTGAACGGAATTGAATTCTATTTGCCGATTATCCTTGGCTGGATACGAGTACGCGAGTGTGCGTCATACCGCCATTGAAGCAAGAATTTCAATGACTATTGCTTACGCGAAATAATGCGCCGATATGTAACGTTATCTGCTAAATATTCATATAATCTCTGTTAATGTATGGAGGTCGGTATATGCGAGTGAACCGGATAAGACGGGGCTTTCCGATGTATTTAAATAATACGATACTACGTTGAATCGGAGATTGGTTCCAAAGAAAGAGGCCGTCTCCGGCGCCATTTTGCCGGGCAAAGTGAGTGCTCGAGTTGGCACTCTAGGAAAACGTTTTCTGCGACGGTGCATACAGATAAATGGAACACGTGTCTAGGCGTACGTATATAAACCACATGACCGCGGGGACGTTAGTCAGGTTAGCTGATCCAAACTGTTTGCAGTAGTCATTTTTAAGGTCGCAATATATATATAACCTGTCGATTAAAGAAAAGCATGAGATCATTCTTCGAACATTCCGTCTTTTAATACCATTAGTACCGGTTATATCGTGGAAAGCTTTAAAAGTGTCGAGGGAGAAATGGGACGAGCAGTCGTAAAATGGATGAGGAAAGCTTAGGACGTTGTAAGATTGCAAGAAACGCCGCAGGGAAAAATGAGTGAAAAACAAAATTTCATTGGTTATTGGTTACCCGAGAGAAAGCGGCAAAAATACAATTGGGCGGATTTTGAGAATGCCTGTGCCGAACGTGGATTTATACTTAAAATGGTAAGATCAACGTACAGCATGCTCCATGCTTTAATACTTTCGAACATGTGTTCGAGAAATATTGTGCGTCGGTGATCCACGAGTGCTCCCGTAATGTATTTATAAGTATTCAAATTCTGAAATGAACTTCTGTTCCAGATCGACGTTAACTCTAATTTAGAGTCTCAGGGACCAATTCATGTTTTTCTACATAAGCTTACCGATACCCTTGCACTAGCTGAAAGTGGTGATCAAAATGTACGGCTGCTGTTCCTATTACGCTCGTTGTGTAATGATTAAGTTTATTAAGTATATTTTCCTTTTTTTAAATTAAGGCAGGAGTCATCGTTACGAGAATACAGGGATACATTCGCAAGCATCCTGAACTGATAGTGATAGATCCTTTGGAGAACGTTAAAAATTTACGCAACCGACACAAGTCCTATGAAATAATACAAGATGGATTCCAGTTCAATGGTTAACATGTTAATAATACCTTGCAGTTTCAGAGTCGTATCGTTAAGTTTGACAAAATCTCTTAAACGTTACTAAATAACTAATATATTTTCAGATGTGTTCACTCCAAACTTCATAGAAATAAAGTCCAAGAGTATTCCTGAAAATGTATCCCTTTTGAAGCAGAACAACATCAAATTTCCATTTATTTGCAAACCTCTCGTTGCTCACGGATCTAAGGATGCACATAAGGTACTTGTAAATTTTTCACATTAAATATTTTGCGAGACTCTTTTAATTTTTGATATTAACGACATCATTTATTTTAGATGATGGTTATTTTTAATGAAAAAGGGTTAAAAGACTGCCAACTGCCTTGCGTGGCCCAGAACTTCGTCAATCATAATGCTATTTTATATAAAGTATTTGTTGTTGGTGAACATTTCCATGTAGTCGAACGCCCCAGCTTGAAAAACTTTTACCAGAAAGACTGTGCTACACTGAATACCCTTTTTTTTAGCTCGCATGATATTTCAAAAAGTGGTTCCAATTCAAAGTGGAGTATCATATCAGCGGAAGATGTAGCTCTCACTGTTAAACCAAATTTTAAGACGTTTGAAAGAATTGTCAAGAGAATAACAAGACTCTTTGGACTTGTTTTAGTTGGGGTAGATGTTGTTATAGAAAATCACACTGAAAAATATGCAATTATTGATGTAAATGTCTTTCCTGGGTATGATGGATATCCACGTTTCTTTGATAATTTAGTTGATAGTATCGGCAGGCTGCTCACAGACCAAAAGAGTTACCGACAGAACTCTAAAAACTGTACTTTGAAGAAATGTCTCAGTGACGACTTGGATTCTGGTTTTGAGAGTGATGAAAAGAAAAAACAATCTTTGAAATAAATAAGGAATATTTTAAATACATTCAAGATGGAAATTCTGAGAGCATGGAAAGTGAAGCATAATACGCAACTCGAATGAATCATGTACCCCTAAAGCTTAGGTCACATCATTTCTGTTATTGAATAAATCATTGTACATAATTGATATATATATACGGGGATCAACTTTCAAGTTGCTCTATTAGCAAAACATGCTCTCAGCATGCTATTTCGTTTTAGATTTCTATTATATATTTTTTACATTTTATTAATTTACATTGTATTCTCTTTTAATAATTAACCAAAGGCATTTGTTGTACAGATACATAAGAAAGTCTAGCCATCATTTTATACTTCTTTATATAGTATCTCAGCGTTTCCTACCATGACAGATTGCCTGAAACGGTCAGTACAAATATTTCATTCTTTTAGTTATATATTGCAGATATTAGCATTGACTCGCATCAGAAAAATATTAGAGATGAAATTGGATAGTTTACAGTGTGATTAGCCATATCATTAATTTTGAATTTGTACTTATATATTGTATAAATGTGTATATAAGCGATACCGAATTAGTTGAGAAGTAGTGACCTATAAATAATAGGATTAGTAAAGTTGTCAAAATCATTTTATCATATTCACTGTAGCTGTTGTATCCAAAGATCTTGTGACAACTGCTTTAGCAATTCTATCATGAGGGGACGCGGTGAATGAAAACATCGTGAACCCTTCAAATTGTTCATAGTTAGCAAGTAACGAGAAGTGGTATGATGTCTACTTTAATGGTTGTTTTGGCATGAAGGAGCATCACGTAGACGTTGTGTACCTGAAGGAATGAAAAATTATTATTTTTGTTACACGTGGTATTGCAAAGAACAAAAGTATTAAGAGTACTAGCTCATAATGATACAACTTTTTAACTTGGAAAGATGTAGCGACAACTTTTCTTGTTACAAAGTGTAAAAAGGAAAGGAAAAAAAAATAGGATCAATATAAATGTTAGTGTCATTTACTTGTAATTCTCATTACAAGAGTGGAATAGCATGACGTAGTTAATTGCTAATCGGATTGCTGGTAATCCTAAGCTCAACATTGCTGTAGCGATATGAGAAATATTTCTATTACTCTTGATGTGCGATGCGCTCCTTTTTGGTGAGACTTCTATTACGTCATATTAAATTAGATAAGATAATATTCCTATTGTATAAATGACTTATTTTTCGATTTTTATGCTGGTTGATTGTATACCAACACGCCGACGTTTGCACAATAATTTCCTCGAAGTTGTGCGTTACCATGCAAAGTATTCGTGTAACAATGCAATACGAGCGAATTGAACTTCATTGCAAGGATGAAGTGTTCACTTTTATAATACTAGTAATATTTATTTATTTGCGGATATATTATTTGACCCGTTTAATTTATATTGAAATTCTATCTGGGCCTCTTTATAAACCCAGTATTTCAATTTTTGCATCGATACTTATTTAAGTCTTAACTTAAAAAATGTTAGCGTTTATAGTTTAAACTGTTTTATATCAATATTTATAATTGAAAAAATTATATAGACATTTTAATTTTCTTTAAACATTAAAAGCACCATGATTTTCAACGTAAATGTACAAAATACGCTTAAGTTTTCTATTATCTAGTAACATGAAGTGACACTTTCAAAAGTACGCTTTTTTTGTATATTCGTATAATGTATTTCATATGAATAAATTGTACAAAGTAGTTGTCACGAGTTTCAAATCGCAACTGTATGCAGAAATTGAATTTCAGGGCTGCATTTGGTGTTGCCTCACTTAAATTATTTACAAGTAAACAACAGAAAAAGTAACTGAAGCTACCTCGTCGTGGATTCCGATGAATCGGTGTCATTGGTTGTCTTCTGTTTCATCCAGGCTTTCGCAGATGCCAAAAATTTGAGATTGGGTCTCTGCGACTCATCCTCAGGGAAAATAAAATCGAATACTTCTTCCCAGCCTTCCTCTGTCTGTAAAGACGCATAGCAAAATATTATATAGCTATACCTTTGAATGATAATTTTTGTGCAAGGAAAAATACTTACTCCGTCCTCTCTAATAACACGCCTTCTTCTTTTGATTCTTCGTGGCATTTTCTCCATTATTCTGGCGAGATTGTCTTCATCACCTCTTTCACTTTCAAAGTCCCTCCAAGCTTCCAAGAGTAGTGCTCTACTCTCCTTATCGCCATTACTTCGCAATGCTTCATTACCACGTTCAAATACTCTTCTCGCCAAAACGACATTATTTGGCTGATCTTCCGATACTGGATTAGCTAATTCGAATTTCGCATACGCCACCCATACCTGTAAATAGCAGGAAGAATGATACATCGAACTGAAATTAATATACGTTACATACGTCAAATAAAACTATTTTTGCAATGATAATTCACCTTAACATGAAGAGTACGCTCTAGAAGTCTTTCGAACAGTTGTCTTGCATTTTCTGCTTCATCTTGCGATATTTCGAAGTCGATATAAGATTTCCAAAGCAGTTCAGGCATATCTAATCTACGAAGAAGAATTAAATATTAATGATTTGAATATAATGACCAATTACGATTTCCCAGTAATAATAGTAACTTACCTCGGTTGAGAGACAGCTAATTCATAAATCGCTCTCGCTCGATCGATGTCACCCAGAAGTGTCTCCAGTTCAGCAAACTATCATAAAAATGGTATTATTCCTTGACGTTTATAACTTGTTAATGTTCAAGTGATGCGCCGGTTATTATTTAATGTTCAACATACCTTCATCCACGTAGTGCAATTTTCAGGACCAAATTCCAAAAACTTCTCGTATAATATTCTGCATCTATCAAATTCCCGTAACTGGATTTCTAAGTCAATGTATCCTCTAAAAAGCTTATCTCGGGGACAAATTCCTAACGCCATACCCTTTTAAAAAATTGTACATATAGTAACACGTATTGTAGTTATTATATATGATACTAGTTACTTTTACTTACCAATGTTTTTCTAGCAGCAGTTAAATTCTTCTGACGTATCTCAAATTGTGCGTACAGCAGCCAGATTTTCGAAAATGTGAAATGTTTGTGTGGAATTAATTCTATACATGTTCTGTAAATAATATTAATATAGATTATACATTTTTTTAGGGGGTTGACAAATTATCAGTCAAATTAGACTAATTTACCTATAAACCTGACGGCATCTTTCTATGTCTTCCGTTTCAAGTTCTTCATAAAGAGCGTAATTTATCCAAAGATATATGTATCTCCTCCAGAATTGTTTTTCCTATAATTATATAATTTCATTTTAAATATTTGGTTCAGATGAAATATTTATTTTGATGAAGTAAGTTACACCTAGTAGATACCTTTGTCGGTGGGACATTGGCTATCGCACGCTCGTATGTCTCTCTTATGACTTCTGCGTTCGATTCAGATTCGACTAATCTTAAATAATCGAACCATGCATCATAGTTTGAAGGATTGTCTTTTACTTCTTGCTCGTACTGATTTTTCCGTTTGCTAACAATAACATCTTCGATACCTGGAAGTCATTATTGACATGATGTGATAGATATTCATGAATACATGCGTAATAATGCGTAATAAGTATTTAAACATACCCGAACGATCTCCATATTTTTTTTCATGTATTGTGTAAGCTTTATATATCTCTTGAGTTCTGTCTTTTGGAATTTGATCAAGGGCGTATTTGTATATTACTCGGGCTCTATCATGCTAAAAACAAAAGTTTAATTTTTTGTAGTTAAAATTATCTACATATAATTGATTAATTTATTTATATCTTACTTCGCGTTGTCCCTCTTCAAATCTAGCAAAGGCAATAAATAATTTTTCATCGAGACTTTCATCTCCATAAAATGTGACAGCACGTTCGTACACCTTACGTGCTCCATTTATAAAGCCATGTGATTCCTCAAATCGAGCATATTTTATCCAGTGCTTCACATCAGGATGTACCATTACAAAACGTTCATATATTCCTCTTGCCCTCTGTATTTCTTTATATCGTAATTCAAATTTAATGTATGTTTGCCATGCTTGTTCATCTGGTTCCCATTCCATCCAACGCTCAAACACTTGTCGTGCTCCTATAATTGGGGGAGAAATTGCATTGCAAACATCATGGGAACAAAGCATGTTTTGTGCATAATCAATTTTTTACCTGCAATATTTTCTAACATTTCTTCCATATATGTATACTTGTACCAGAATTGGTTTGCTCTTGGTAAAATTGTAACGGCACGATCCCATATATTTCGAGCATGATTTACTTGCCGATTGCGCATTTCCATTTCTGCGTACTTCAGCCATAATGTAATGTTCCTATGATCTACATCCAATGCCCGTTCAAATATAGATCTAAAAAAATAAAAATAATGCTTGACTACACTCATTTTGTATACATACAAAAAATGTTAAGGAGAGCTTTACCTAGCTCTTTGAATTTGTTTCTGACTTTCTTCCCATTGTGCGTATTTTACCCAGTTAGAGAGGACCATGCGATTTTTGCGAATGTTATCTTCAAACGCTTTACGCTTGCGGTGTTGATAATCTGCTAATTCATGAGGATCCGAGATTTTTTGTTTTGGAGGCTACAACAACAATAATAGCAAGTCATTTATCCAATAAATCATTATGTTACTATTTACTATGAAGATGCAAACTACATAAATATAATTCGTCATACCGGCGGTAAGATTTCCAAATCTCTTTCTTTTGCTTCACGGAGAAGTTGCTCAGCAGTAATTTGTATTTCTGCAGGAGCTTTGTTTTTAACCTGTAAAAAATCATTAATGTATGGTAAAAAAAATATTACTTTTAATTAAAGAGAGAACAATAATGCACAATACCTTTGCCACTTTTGGCATCTTTTGAGGTTTCTCCATGGTGATTCCTTCTAAGCAATTCCTCTGATAAAATTATTGAAATTATTGAATATTTTCCTTTAAAATATAAGGCACATTAGCACAAATTAGCAAGAATTTCAGTTTCTTCGTTTAAAATTGTTATAAATACGTATGCAGTATAGCTACTTATAACCTCAAAATAAACTGACGCATTTAAAAATCTAGCATGTACGCCACATGCTAAATGCAGAGGATGAGATTGCTCACGAATTGGTTTTGCAATTGTGGATTTGTGCTGTCCTCTGTAAAAAATTATAGCACCTTAAATATTTTTCTTAGCGACACCTGATAAATGTATTTAGAAGTATATGCACAATGAAATGTTCGCTTTGCATTAACAGCGGTTACACGGTACTTAATACCGACAGATATGAAAATCGTATAATTTGTGCCGTGTAAACGTACTCAAGTTAGCACCATTGCGCTTGGAACATTTTGGGATGTGAACAAAAAATTTGCAGTTCTGGAGTAGCCACTTTATATTAATGTAAATAATACTCTACATATACCATTATACATGCTCTTTCTTCAACATGATTCCGACGACATTGCTTCAATTTATGTTAACCTGTCTTCAAATATTGTCAGAGGGGATGCAACGTGATTAAAATTAACAAGAAGATATTGAAATGTACAATAACCAATGACATTAATTTAACTGACGATCTGGAGTGTCAGAAAACATGTATCGCATGTGATGTGTCATCGGCTTGTTAAATTTGGTTTAATTTTGTATTTTGTAATTAAAACTGCTTTAAATTTGTACATTGCCACATAAAAATACAAATGGTGAGAAACACTGCCATTTTACGATATTTGCCGCAATAATTCCTGAATATACATGTTAGTCAATCAATGATACGAATATGGAAGAAGCAGCACAAGGTCTCTGTCCATGTTAGAATGTGGCTTACCAGTTTCTCGCCCACACAATTTGCCCATTTAATAATGACTTGTGGTGATTTTCATCTTTGATATTCTAGCAGAATAGAAGCTGTGAATGTTGCGACCAAATTTATGAATTGCATAATACAATTTTCATTTTATTATTAATATGTTTTTTATGCTATATTTTTTCACGTAGTTGGACTCTGGAACATCTAATAGCTTATTAGCTGCTGCGAAGCACTTGGCTGACAGTGAAATAGAATTAATAAAGACCATAGAAAGTGCCACAACAAATCCTCAAGAAGTCATAAAGGAAAACATGTCCGCGACATCCAAAAAATCTCATGGACAAAAAAGGCATCCACCAGTATGTTATCACATTTGAGTATCAATACTGTGAAAACAATTAGAATAAATACTAATCGATTCGTTACATTTTTTAAAAAATTCATATTTCACAAATTTTAAGAATTATGAAAGAATTGAAATATATATATTTAATTTCACTAATAAAAATATATTATCTAACCAAAATGATTATATTGGGTTATGAAGGTAATTTTATTTAATGTAAAGTCTTTTTAAATGATGGAACGCTTATTTATCAGCAATGCAAATGCTTTTATCATTTGTCTTTTTAAACCTGTTATAAATCACTATGTGCGGATTATATCTTTATCTGTACATCACCTCTTGCGGAACTCAAGTGTGTATTATCAGTTGGTCGAATACTTTGCACTGCTGTGTTGGGCAGTGGGTGATTCCCAAGTGCTTAGATAATTCTGATGCTCGTACCTTTCATGTTGTAAAAATTACATTTTTTAAATTCAGATCAAACCATCAGCTGCTCTGGTAGCAGCAAAACGTGACGCTGCACAACGAAAACGATTGCAAGGCAAGAAATCTGACAATACCTTTGTTCGTGATATTTATCACAGAGCAATAGAAGCATTAAACATGACACGAAAAGCAACTGGACTTGTTTTTGACCTTTCGATGGACGAACATCGATGTCTTTGGGATGAAGGATATCCAGAATGTCCGGAGAGATTCACTAGAGTGTTAGAAAGGTGTAAGGAACTAGGCCTTGTAGAAAGGTGTAAGCGTATTGAATCGAGGCATGCCACAGACGATGAATTACTGTTGAAGCATACACGAACACAAATTGATTTTTTAAAAGCTACAGAAAAATGTAATGATGTAGAGAAATTAGAAAAATTGTCATCGAAGTATGATGCAATTTATATTCATCCAGTAAGTGGTATATCACCTTACAGTTGATTAGACACATTCGGCAACAAAAGTAAGACTGACTTTGATTGTTTCAGTCTACGTATGCGACGGCTTTGTTGGCTACTGGATCAACAATAAACTTGTTGGAAAATATTTGTAAAGGAGAGGTGCAAAATGGAATGGCTATTATTAGGTAACATTCTTAAAATTGTTCATTTTGATGTGTGACTCCAATGTTATTTTCAATTATATATGAGGCGAATTTCAAGAAATGTATAATTTAATGAAGAAAACTGGAACTTCATCTGTTGCGTGTTTTGTAGACCACCTGGTCATCATGCAATGAAGGCAGAATATTGTGGCTACTGTTTTTTTAATAACGTCGCAGTCGGTACTCAGAAAATATTAAATAGTAATTTAGCTAAGAAAATTTTAATTGTCGATTGGGACGTACATCATGGCCAAGCAACTCAACAAATGTTTTATGATGATCCTCGGTAAGTAATTGAGGTAAAGATGTTTAATTCAAATAGTATTTATGAGTCACAATTTGTTACATTTCAGTGTTGTCTATTTTTCAATTCATCGTTATGAATATGGAAAATTCTGGCCAAATTTAAGAGAATCTGATTTTCATTATGTTGGAGAAGAAATGGGCAAAGGTTATAACTTTAATGTACCTCTTAACAAAACTGGAATGACGAATGGGGATTATTTTGCAATATTTCATCAGGTTCTATTACCGATGGCATACCAGGTAAAATTAAACATTTAAAAATTTGGTCAAGGCATGTACATTTTTAAATTGTGTGTGCAATATACTAAAAATTAATAACATGATATTCAATTATTCCAGTTTCAACCAGATCTTATAATAATCTCAGCAGGTTATGATGCAGCACTCGGCTGTCCCGAGGTAAAATAAAAACTTTTTCTTGACTGACCCTGCCTCTTTTTACTTTAGTTTCTTCCTGAGCTAATCATTGTGTCAGCTGGGTTTGACTCCGCACTTGGAGGTGAAAAGGTTCATAAGTCATGTATAATTGATGACCCAAAAGCAATTAAACAAATATTTCATAATTTGTTGACGAAGGAATTATTAAAATATGTAGTAACGATTGTTTAAGGGAATAAGAGAATTTATTTATAGTATATATTTTTTCTTTGAGCGAAATTATCACCCCTGACCATTTTCGTGCTTACTTTTTCACTTTTGAAAATAATATTGTTTTGAAATATTTTAGGGTGAGATGGAAGTGACCCCAGCATGTTATGCACATTTATTGACGTCTCTTTTAAGTTTAGCTAGTGGAAGAGTGGCAGTGATATTGGAGGTTTGTTTTTATAAATCAATTTTACTGTATAAATTTAGGAATATGATTTACAATTGCTAAATTTTCAGGGTGGATATTGTCTGAAATCCTTGGCAGAAGGTGCAGCTCTGACATTACGTGCTTTATTGGGTGATCCATGTCCAATGTTGCATACATTCGAACCTCCATCAAAAAGGTGCACTTCATTTTTTAACCGATATTATTTTATAGAAGAAGTTGAACCATTTTTTGTCAACATAATTTCAGCATACGAGAAACGATTTTAAATGTCATTTACGCACATAAACCTTATTGGACTTGCTATCAATATCAAGACACATACAATATTGATAGCGTGACGAGTAATGCTGAGGAAAATAATAACAGGCACTTGCCAGCTGTCATCTACCGGTAATGATGCAAATAAAGTAGCGATTTATATAAGTTGTCTTCATAAATTCGTCATTATTTAATATTCCTTACAGAGGGGACGAAACTAAGCCAGATTTTTATGAAACTAGATCATGTTACCCGATACAAAGTAAGGAGACTGTACAACAAATTGAGAAAAAATTGAATGCTTTGATCCAGTGTAAGTCATAAAGACTGTAGAAAATGATTTCGTTCTGTACTAAGCTTATTGAAGGAATCATTGTAATTAATAATTTTAGTTTCGAATTTGAAGAAATCGCCAAATCGAGTGTGCATTGTATATGATGAGAGAATGTTGGGGCACATAAATATTTCGGACGATACTCATCCAGAGAAACCTGACAGAATTTCTGCCATTTACTCGAAGCACGAGGAGAATGGATTACTTAAACGATGCCAAATATTACAAGTACGTTCTTTCACAATGATTCTGAAAGTCTGATATTAACTGAAAATACCATTGCAGGGAAGAATGGCAACCGAGGAAGAACTTTTACTTGTGCATTCGAAAGAATACATAGAGACAATAAAAAAGACAGTTGACTCGAAATTGAAAGATCTCGTAAAGCAAGCTTCGGATTTAAATTCTATTTATCTACACCCAGAAACCTGGACTAGTGCATGTATTGCTGCGGGTTCTGTACTACAAGTTGTTGATAACGTATTGAATGGAGAAAGCCAATCTGGCGTAGCAATTGTCAGACCCCCGGGTCATCATGCGGAGGAGGATCATCCATGTGGATTTTGTATTTTCAACAATGTCGCCCTGGCTGCAAAATACGCTGTAAAGTGTCACGATTTAAAGAGGTACACGATTTTGTAATTACAATCACTGAAAATTCATGCAATTTTTGCACGAGTGTCTTGTGATTTTTAGAGTGCTCATAGTGGATTGGGACGTTCACCATGGAAATGGTACTCAGAATATTTTAGAGTATGACTCGAACGTTCTATACGTATCGGTCCATCGATATGATAATGGCAGTTTCTTTCCGAACTCCAAGAAAGCAAATTACACAGTGGTCGGTTCTGGTCCTGGGGAAGGGTTCACGGTCAATATTCCATGGAATAAGGTACAAGTTAAGGTTAAATTAATATTAGCGTTCAAAACATTAGGCTTATCAATGAATTTCTGTGATGTTCAGAAAGGAATGGGCGACGCCGAATACATAGCAGCATTTCAGCAGATTGTGATGCCCATAGCATACCAATTTAATCCACAATTAGTATTAATATCAGCAGGCTTTGATGCTTGCATCGGTGACCCTCTTGGAGGTGAGAATTTTATTTTCCACTACTTAGTAATTCCATCGGTACATTATTTGTCGTTGCAGGTTGTAAAGTATCACCAGAAACGTATGGACACTTAACCCATTGGTTATCGTCGTTAGCCAATGGTCGCGTCATAATTACTTTAGAAGGTGGATATAATGTAAATTCTATCGCATACGCGATGACTATGTGCACTAAAGCACTTCTAGGTGATCCTCCAATTATGTTGGATACTTGCCAAGCACCTTGTGCAAGCGCTATTAATACCATAAATAATGTTCGAAAAACCCACAAGCAATATTGGCTTAATTTAGGGTTCCAAATGTCGCTACCGAAAGAAAATGTGCTCGCCAAAACGAAAGTCTCTCATGCAAAGTCTAACGATCGCCATAAGATTCACGGGGACTCGAGCAATAAGTCAGAATCTAAAATAGCTTTTGAAAAGATAGAAAATGAAAAGCTGGACTTGAAGTTACGCTTCGATAAAAGCAGCTTGAACATGGTAACGGACGAAGAGATTTTGAAGCTTCAGAATGAGGTTGAGAACATGAAAATTAAAAATCTAGCACATACCAAAGGTGCCGAAGAGATCGTAGGTGATCAAGCAAAATCAGCTGCGAATGCTCCTAGCCTTCTGGCCAGTAAGTCATGGACTATTTCCTGACCATTATCTGATTACATTTCTTATAGAAAGTTTTTCTTTAGGTAGGGGATGTCCTAAAGAAGTTGTAAATAAGAATGAAAGAGATATAAATCGTCAAGGAGGCTCAAGGGCTGGCAGTGAAAATATTGATGACGAACCTGCCAGCAGTAGCAGTCAGAATAATTCACGACAATCGGTTTCTACTGGAAACTTAACGGATTATTTATCTGAGAATTTGCAGGCAAGTTATTTACTTTAAATTAATAGCCTAAAATTAAAATTGTTTAAAATGAATAGTAATTTTGTGTTCTTAGGCTTTGGTGGACGGAGAAATGTTCGCAATTGTGCCACGAAGACAATGTCCGCATTTGGCAGATGGTGTCAGAGATGTGCCGTCTACTGGCATTGATGTACATTTGCCATGTCAAGAGTGCAGCAGTACCGCTGAAAATTGGATTTGTCTACGGTGCTACACGGTGCATTGCGCACGCAATATTAATGAACATGCGATACAACATGATCGCCAGTTGGATCATCCTCTAACGCTCAGTTTCTCCGATTTGTCCGTTTGGTGTTACAGATGCGAAGACTACATCGACAACCCGGTAAATTGATCAGAGAGCTAATGAAATTACTAAATATGATTTACATAAAAATATATTCACTTCTGTTAATCATTTAATGTCTTTTTGTGCAGCGATTGTATCATGCAAGAAACGCAGCTTATCGAAGTAAATTCAATCAAGACCTTCCATGGACTTACGATGAATTAACAGATCAAAGAACTGCTTAAGAGCAACACTGTCTCAATCCATTATATTTTTCTCCGCTGTGTATAGAGAGAAAATTGTGGCATTTTTGCAAGAATATTTGCTACGAATCTATTACCGAATTAGTCCACCTCCAGAATAAGACAGACACTATTTATTTATTTTTTAGATGAGAAATGATAAAACTCTATAATTATTTTTCTACTACTTCAACATTTTGCACCATTTGAATAGTTCTTGTAATGAGACCTATGTCATTCGAAAGTATCGGTGGAATACATTATTTTAATTCATGCATTGCAATAATTATCACTTGTTGCATGAATGTAAAATCTCTAAATATTCGAAAACACTGAAATCGATAGGCACTATCCCACAAATACTTCTTTGTTGATAGTATGACAATAAAAAAAGGTTCTAGTTGCTTTTAAAAATCGTAATGTTGCCAGTTTAGATAAAATGTGGCAATATGTGTCAACTTAAAGTAATATAGTATACATAATAATTCTCCAACATGGCAATATAATGTTATATATATTAAGAACTATCACGATACCTACACAAAAAAGGCATAATGTACAGAACTTTTCAGACAGGCTTAACCAAATACTAAAGATAATTCGCGGTTTAATAATGTAATAAAACATACTATTGTATCAGTCTTCCTCATAAACATATTGTTCTTATTATATGAATAAATTATCAGTATTTCCGTATTAGAATATGTTTATTGCAAGAGCATTGGTGGTAAATGAATTAAAAATTAATTTTTCATGTAATGTCACGCATGACAATACTTCAGTAATTAACATGATTAAAAAATGTTAATTATCACAATCGCGAGCGTCATTAAATAAAAATGTACTACTATAGTAAACCACTGTTTTCTACATAAATTGCTGCTTATTTTTTTCTGTCTTAACCTTCAATTCAATTTTTAAAATAAGCGTACATAAATTAATATTTCATAATTAAGGGCTTATGAACTCTACAAGAGATCTTGTGTACAAATATCCAACCGTACTTACACTATTATTTTTATACAATAACTTCAATAGTATTACAAAATCCAGTAGATCTTGTGGCTTTATTTAATTTGAAGTTAAGCCCTTACTTGGGTATTACAAATTTTCGAGATTAAGCAAGAATGCCGCTGAATGCACCTTTTATCGCACCAAATTAATTTGATAATTATTGAAATTTTTATTTTTCATGCGTCACATTCTTGCTTCATCGAGTATATGTACAATTCTCTGTTATCTTGTAGATACAGTTTCAATTCTCAATAAAGCTAATCCAAATTGATCTACCAAATTAAAGAAGCCATGTAGGGTATTTTGTGAAACTGAATTAGCTATTTCTAAAAATGAAAATTCATTATTAAATATTAATGGCAATTTTTCCGTTGTCACGTGAGGATAAAATGTTTTGACAACACGATAATTTAAAAATTGAGAATTGTTTCTAGTGTTATAAGCTGCAAATTCTGCTAGTAGAGTTGCAGGAATAGCATAATAGAGCCTATATGGTAGTTTCATTGTTTTAAACCTTTCTTCGCATTCTTGAAGCTTGTACGCTATACTATCTTGTACTTCTACGACGTTTTTTGAGCCTTCCTCGTACAAATAAAAGTCTTTGGTCAACTGATATTTATGTTTAGCACTAGACATATACGTTTTACGAGTGTTTCTTAATTGTAAAAGGGCAGTCGGTATTGAATAAGTATAAGATGTATACAAGTGAACGTGAGTAAGATGGGGCTTTGCTCTTAATTCGTTTGCAAAATGCGACGTTAATGGCAAAACACCACCCTGATGGAAAAAACCATAGAAAAGTGTTAATATCACGTTAGAAAGACACCATACCACTTGCAGCTTTCCGAGTTTAATACTACTACTTTGAAAGGCACTCTTTCTTTGACTATTTTCGCAGCTAGCATGAATAATATCCGTTGCTTGAGATTCCGACAATTTTGAAGAGTATAAAAAAATTATCGGTAGAATAACAGGGACTATGAAACGAGGTTCTTGATGTGGGAAAATCGATAACATTGCTATCGGCACAATAAAAGATGCCGTCATTAAGCCCGTAATGCTCTGAATACGAGGTAGTTCCAACCAATGTCCTCTCGAACCACTGGAAAGAACAGATGTTGAAAAAATTCAGTTCAATAAACCACTACTAATTGAAAGGAAATGTATAAGAATATCAATTGATTCGAGAAACTTATATGAAAATATAGACAATATATAATTTGGTATTATTCACCTGTACAACATTTTTCCAAATGTAATTAATCCAATAATACCAAGGATACCGAATAATAATGGTACATTGATAATAAAATGTAACAAACGTGGATGAAGCCCATGTATCTCAAGATTCTTATTGTTTAAGTTGTACTTCATAAAATTGAGAGGTGTTACAACAAAGTTGTTCATACTTATTTTCAGGCTACCTATCTCAGCTATTGTCAGGTATCCAAAGTAGAAACTATCAACGAGTATAAGGGTAAGAGCTATTGGCAGACAATAAATAACAAAGGTAAAAATTCTAACATGAAAATCGATGAATCCTACACTCTTAGAACCAAGGCCTCGGTGAAGCCAAAAGAATATGGGTGGAAATGCAAATGCAATAAATGTCGGTCGATTGAAAATACCAGTCACAGTTATTGCTGCAAGAAGGAAGCAATGATTTAACGAATGCGAAGGAAGAGAGGCTCGAAGTTTATAGTATTTTACTCTTTCCACAATACTTAATGCTTTTCGGTAGCGTTCGGACAAGTAATCACTTCTACGTACAACCTAAAAAGATGATTATTTAAAGTTACATCAAATGTCTTGTATATTTGGTGGTATTTTATTTTTCTTACCTTTCCTGAATAAGCCATACATCCAGAAACGACGTAGAGCAAAAGAGACGTTAGTATTAATTCGATGCTATTGGAAAATGTTCGTGTAGCGTAAACAAGAGTGACATAAGAACTCGCATACACAATGAGTCTAACTCTATGGTTTTGACCATAAATGCAACAAATTTTATACAAGCAATAATCTGTGATAAACGAGAGGCTACATATTAATAGCCGAGGTAATACAATAAGAAAATATGGAGATCTCAAGGTACTCCCAAATATGTAACTAGATATCGACGATAGTCTACAGAGAATGGAATATGAAATTCCAACAGTCATGTATGGAAATATAGCAGATCGTACAGGAAATGTAGTATTGAATTCCCAAGGTTTGTATACATCTATATCGAAATAATCCCCTGTAAGGAAAATAAGGTTAAGGTAATATTTCTTTTATTGCTAAGAAATGAATTACTTTAAAATTACATTACGATATAACAAAAACATAAAGTAATGTCAATAAGTACCAAAGAAACAGCTTTAGATTTGATAAATTACAACTTAATTTTACCTGCTACAACTTCTATTGATTGAAAATATTCATCAGGATGGATATACCCTCGTTGTGGCAGAAGGGTTAAGAAAAACCTCAAACCAGCCAAAACCCAATAGAGGATCATGTCTGATTTAATTTGCTTAACATCTTGGTAGTTTGGTTTCGAGTACACATTTTTGTACAGCATTTTAAAATAAATATAGAGACTTTCTAGCTTAGGAGTCACATTGTAAAATGGGTGTACATCTTGCTGCACACATAATTAGATATAATTTTTTCCTTTTAAACACCATTTGATTTATATTTGGGTTAGGACGATTTAGGTATTTATTACATACAAGTGAGTAAGCTACAATGCCGTTCAATCAACTGATTATCTCAATGATTACACAAAAACAGATAAAAAGTAAGGTTCCAAGAAATAAATTTAGACCACCGCAGACCACCGTAATCAAAGCCCTAAAGGCAATAGTCAAAAAAGATCTACCACTAGATTAGGAATCTTGTTTTACGCTTCCGTATAGAGCTATCAGATGGCGCTTACTGCTACTATTTCTTTTTTACAGGTTAGATAGCGATATGAATTTGTCTCTGTCCAACGGAAAAGAATGATAAAAATGAAAATTCCCACAGTCTGTCAGCACTAGTGAATTATGAAAAAACCGACTTGAACGCATTAGGGATGCGTAAATGTTTACGTAAAGTGTGGAATCGTAGATGCTTGTGATTTAAATTGTTTAAGGTGCTCTTACGTATTTTGCATCAGTTAAATTACTTCACATTGTCATACTACCAAAGATCACAGCTGATGTCTAATTCAAGATTTTATTTGTCATTTATATCTAGTCAATTAATGTAAATTAAGGTAAATTATGGGAACTACGATATTGCAAGATATATACAATGATACCAAACTTTTAATTACAACAGTAACAGGTTTTGAGGTATACAATTTATTTTTTGCAAGTTTATTTCTAATTCTGTTTACGATTGCTTTATAAGTGTATATTTTTTTATACTTTTCTAAATCTTCTTTTACAGGATGGCGAAGAAGGGTTTCGCATTTGCGAGCGTTTTGCCCTATCTAATTTCAAGCACCATCGATTCTTGTCAATTAACAGTCATTCGGTTAAAAATTATATTGATGAAATGGTAAAAAAGTTTTCAATTCATGGAAAATACGAAGTGGCTAAAAAGTTTCAAGATCTTGTGAATTCGTTTTTAACAAGTTTTGACTTTGAGCATCATCCCCAAAGCGATCTTCAGTGGGCTCTTTTATCATTAGTGATAAATTTAGCTAATGAAACCAGCAAAGCAGATTTAGCTTCCTTAAAGCTTTCTACGAATGAACATAGTTTTGATGCTACCGTTACTATAGAAGAAGACGAGTCGACAACTTTTGACTGGGGACAATATTTGAAGGAAGGTCAAGAAGACTTTGTGTGCAATTATAAAAGTGAAACCGAAAGTGTAGGTATTAATATTTATATGATTTCAGAGCATTCCTATTTCATTTTGTTATTATCTAGGAGTGGTCAGATGATGAAACCATACAATTTTCGGAAGTAGCTAAATCGGTGTCAATTCCACCTAAAAAAAATGTAGTAAGCTGTGTTCCAACAAAAGTTGTACAGGCTGAGATTGACGAAACATCTAAAGTCTTGGTCAAACAGGCCGAATATAGAAAGTGGTTACTAAAGAATGTACAGAATACATGGTGGAATGAATTGGAATACCGTCATTATCCAACAAATAGTCCATTTCCTGATGCAAAGTTTTGTTATTTGTGGTAATTTCTTAACTTGGCTATGATGATGCACTCGTGTATATAATTTTGAGTTAGAAGTATTGTTTTTTCTTTCAGGAATAATATTGTATCGAAAGGTTTACATTTTATTAGCACGCTGAGCGAGTATCACATAATCAGAGAATTACTGTGGATGTTTCATGTACAAAAACCAATGGTTGTATTTCAAGAGAAAAATGAGGCCGATTTTTTTATTAGGCCCAATTTATCAATATCAAGTTTAAGCGCTGTATGTAGTTCAGTCTCAATTTATTTCTTTATCAAATTCATACATGAATTTAAAAATGGCCATGACTCTTACAGGTTACTTTCAATAGTATTTTGCTTCCATTCTGTGAATATTTCATAATGTTGCATAAAATGGAACAATTTGGAGAAAATTTATACATCGATCATAACTTACAACAAATACATCGGAGTGCACCACTAACTTATGAAGCATACAATGCAGCATTATCGGAGCATTTATTTAAATTAAAGAGTGTAGTTATTGATTTAGAAAAGAGTGTCATGATTCAAGGTATGCTTATAAATATAATCTATGTAGTACATTATTCATTATCTAAAATGCATAGGATATAAACTTGTACATATACATTATGCCGACTGTTCTAGATGACTGCAATACCATGCTATCTTTAAGTAAAGACTTAAAGAAACATCTGAAACACATCAAGATGCTTTACGAGATTCATCGATCGGTAATAACTGATTTTCAAAATTCAGCAAACTGGAAATGTGCATCCAATCTCTTATCGGGTTTATATCGTGAAATGGAAAATTCTAGTAGCCGAGAAAAAAGTAATATATGTGCTAGCTTATACTTGAGAAGTATCAAAGTATACCTAAACATAATTGACACCTGGCTAAGTGAAGGCCGTCTGGAGGATTGGAGAGATGAATTCGTAATCGCCAGGTGATAAATTTCATTGATTTACGTAAACTACTATATATTACTATAATGAATGTGCTAAGAATCTCGCGTTCAACATTTTTCTCATAGCGAGCTTTATACAGAATTTCCGAGTCGATGAAAGAAGACGAAGGACTTTATGATTCGTTTGTTCTACGACCACTGGATCCAATATGTTTATCGGATCCCATTATGCAATTACTACTTTACAAAGTAAGTCACATGGGTCGCAGCATAGAATTACTCGTCAGTTTAGATCGTACCTCCGATATGTGGAGCATATCCGCAGCTGATGGTAAATTTTTACTATAAATATAAATTCATGCAAACGAATAGTTTGTATGTAGCAAATTATTTGGAATTGTAAAACACTTTCTTATATTTTTCAGTACCGCGGCCTCCAATGAGTAGTGAATTTCTTAAAGAGGTATTAGCAGAATTTACCAGATATAATGCTGACATAGTGATAGATGAAACGGATACATCGGCACCAGAGATAGAAACATGTTCGAAGCCAAAATTTGATTTAGATGTGGACATGCATGTTACATCTCAAATTTTAAAGCTAAACAATCCTTTTCTGATGAAGGCTTATGAAAAATGTTTGCCATGCACTTTATTTAATAAAGATGAGGTTGATACAAAGCCGTCAGGACATACTTTGATAACAGGGCAGGATGATACCGTGTATAAGAGGTATTTTTCGATTATATCAATATTATTCATATTTCGAATGTAGATATTTAAAACATATTCATCGAGAAATAAATGAGCGTTCAATTAATAACAATACTAATTTTTCAGACTCCAAAGTATGTCCTCATCAATTTTACCGTTCAGAAAAGTCCTGGAAAGCACCCTAATAAAAATTCTGGATTCACGATATCAAGGTGTTAGTAAATTGGTTAAAAATATATTGATAAAGGAATATAAATTGGAGGAGCAGTTAAAATTAATGAGATGTATTTACATGATGGAAACTGGACATATTATGCACAGGTTTTATCAATTGGTGTTCTCCGAGGTAAAACAGTTTAACGGAATTAAGTGCCAGTAACAGTTCTTAATAGAAATCAAGTAAAATAACATTTCAGATTGAAAACAGTCCCATTTGGAATAACTCATTTTATTTAACAAATATCTTGGAAGAAGTATTATCTCATGAATGGCCGGATTTGAGCTCCCGGTGGTCTATCACTGTTCAGAATGTTCGAACACATAGAGTATTAAACGCAGTAGACAAGATAACTCTACATTATGCTGCAGGGTGGCCTATGAACATGGTGCTAAACAAGGATGCATTGAACAAGTATAACGTGATATTTAGATTTCAATTAAAATTGAAATGGGCTCTTTGGACACTTAACAATCTTAAATTTTCCGGTACGTCAGTGAGCTATTATCAAGATATCGAAGGACTCTCTCATAAGTTTTCTTTTATTATCGCAGATATAGAAGAATCTAAATCAACGTTTATTTCTAATAAAATTCAACATTTTTATACGAGAAGACTTGAAAACTTAAGGTTCTGGTTACTGCATGCTATAGGCTCCATACATGCTTACTTGTGTGGACAAGTTCTACAAAGTTTAGGTTTTTTGTTTGAAAAGGCATTGAAGCAGTGCGAAAATCTCGACGATATAATAACAGGTAAATCTAGCTGAAAATGTAATAGTACATAAGGTGTCTTCTGCGTCCTGAACAATTATAATCTATATTTATCGTTACAGTTCACAATGAATATTTAGAAAAGGTGCACGAGCATTGTTTACAGACCACAGATTTCGAAGACCTAATGGCCACTATCAATAATGTGTGTATTAACTGTCCGATAAAGATAAAAGTTCCTTGAGCAATTAATTTTATTCTGTTCCAAAACAGTTACTGGCAATGTGCATTCACGTGAGGGATAAATGGAAACGTGGGTCAGCAGCGCTTACGGCGAAGGATTTGGACATATTAGAGGCAAACTATACCAATTATCACACATATCTGGCCCTTGCCTTGCATAACGCAGTACAGCATAAGGACGCGGACTATTGTAAGTCCGAAGTTTTATTGAAAGTTCTACAGGATATATTTCAGTTAAATACTCCTTCGTTCTGTGGAGTACATACTTTGGTCACACATTAAGCGAAACATCTTAATTACATCAGTCTTCAGTTTAATAGAAGTTATCGTTAAATCGTGTACACGAGGGGATCAACTAATAATTCAGAAACAAATACTGTGCATAACTTATAATTTACAGAAACTTCAATAATTACCTCCTGCATGCATACCTTGCACTAATTTCAGAATGATAAACTAATATAGCGAGCATGTTAGAGAGTGACTTATTTTAACACATTTTTATTTATTATTTTCAGTGACTGCCTTGAGATCTGCTTTTAATTGCAGTATGCCTTGCATCTAATTTTTATTATTTAATCATTCATGCCTCATCCCCGTCAAATAAACCATTCCACTTTACGGGGTCTGTTCCATTACACATAAGAGTGCGAGTGCTTATCGAAGATAACTACAGTCAACGTTTCAAATCATTAAAAAAATCGTGTACTATCTTAATTCTAAGAGACAGTGGTGCCTGTTTGATGTTTTACACACTTTTTAAATTTAGAAACTTTAAAACCTGTTAATATGCATAGATGCGTTACAGATTCAGTCTCAATACCTTGTAGGCATTTTATTAGAACATGTCTTGATCAGTATTACTATAGTAGTGTTAAAACTGAAAATCAACTAGGATTAATACTGTTACACTAGACACTAATCTGTACATATTAGAGACATAGTTATTAGAAGTATGTTTATATGTGCATCGGAGTAGCAGAAATATACCATAGATTTTATAATGGTTAGATATTCTGATATTAACTATAGCGTAAAGATCATGATTTTTTATTACTATTATTGTACACCGAGGAAGACTATAATTTTTAAATAAAAAATCTTTTCTTAAACAATTTTAAGGCAATAAACTGATAAACTTAGCGTTCCCATTTTCATTTATTCCTTTTCCATTCCTAGTCCTTGTCCACCCCTATAAATTATTTTCAGATAAATTAACACCGCAAATTCAAGTTATCACAGACGAAGATAACTCTGCGGATGATAGTCTGGAAATAATCGATGATCATATAACAGATTTAAGTCGGAACATGCTAACAGAAGTCGCTCATCAAAGTTTACCACCATCAGGCATTCCAGTACCGTTCCCTAAATGTAACATTTATTGGAATGCAACAAGGTACACAAAATATTCACTATCAATACTAGATAAAAAAAAAAGAAAACGTATAATGTACAAAATTTGTTCACGTAACATGATACTCATCTGGGGCTCTTTTCTTGTTCCAGCCTTAATTCAGAAATTCGATTACCAGAATTATCTGTTTTAAGTCCGTATGAAAAAACGTTCTCATATCTTCGATGGTACTACTGCGATGAACGAACAGCAGCGAAGCACATGTCAGCTTGTATCTTATACGAAGAGTTGGGTAATTTAATTAAAAGTATCGAGCACGATCAATTCAGTGATGATACATCAAGTGGTGACGCATTATATGCAGCAGCAATGATTTCTATAAATACTGTATATAATAGCCTTCCTCGGCAAGACAATGAAATGATAATGGATTGGCACGATAAAGAGACTAGCGAAGCAGAAGGAGATTGTTTGGAACAATTTATTAGTACAGATAATGAAGAAAAATCTGAAGGAGAACGATCAGTGAATTCAAGTCCAAGAAAAAGTGTCACAAAAGTGAATCGACAAGTCACAAGTGATTTCAGAAAATTAACGAAGAACAATATTAATGAAATAGAGGCATTAAAAAGATATGACGACGCTGCTCAAGAGAATAGGGTGATTCATAAAGCTGTAAAAGAAAAAGGCGTGAAGCCGCAAGAAATATTAAAATACAATCAAGTTAATGACATGACAACTACAAATCAGTTGTCTGATTTGATCGCTTCGAGTACCTCGGAGAGTCCCAGTAAATCTAATGTTAAATTATCTGTTAGTCAAATATGGAATATGATTGTAACTAAAGGTAGACCTGTGTCAAATTATGTACCTACAGAAAGTGAGAACTCTATTCCTTCAACTGGCTCTATAATTGATCATAGCATGGAATGTGAAAATATTGTTCATGAGCTTGGTGCTGATATTAGTACTTGTAAAGGTGAACTCGATCTTAACGTTCTCTATCGAAGGAGTGATACAGATATTACAAAGTCTACAGAATGCGAAAGTATTAAAGACGATACTGAAATAGTTGCAAACAATTATTTACTTAACTCCGAAATACAGAATACTTATTGTAAAAATACACACATCTATAGAAACAGTCCCGTCTATCAAAGAGCAACTCAGAGCGAGAGTAGAAAAACGTTGAATGAATCAGTCCAACATTTATCAATGGAACCAGACAGTTTAAACGCCTCAGAAATTTCGGTAAAATCAGTAAGAAATAATGACAAAAACAGCCCGAGCCTTCAAAGCGCTAATAATAAATCTGGAAATAACACCGATAGTAGTAAACAATTATTTACAGACTTTATTGAATACACTGAACCACTTGGTGATAATCAGGTTGACAAAAAAGTTGACGGTGTAAAGGTATATTATTATTATTATTACACGTGGATAGAAAGTAAATAGTTTATTTATCTTAGTGATTATTTATCCGTTAATATCATTTTTTCTCATTAGGGATTTTTCAAAAAAAGTTCCAAGGTTTCAGATTCCTTTAATCGTAAAAAAGGAAGACGCACACAGGAACCGAATTACGCCTCCTTTTCAGGACAAATCGAAGAACAACGAAAGACGTGTATTTTATCATGAAGAGTGCATAAGTAATGTCTCATTTATTATTCTTAATACGCAGTAGTTTGAATTGATTCTATAAACTGTTTTAAACTATGCTTACTGTAATACGATGAAAACGATTATTTTTATGTGAATTTATTGACCAAAGTCTTATGAATTTTAAGTCTTCTGTGCTTACTACCGTTGTACATTCTTGTTTAAACAAATATGTAACAGCAAATTATATGAAATTAAACAGACTTTAATTGCATATTTTTGTATTTGAATGATTTATTCTCATTTATGCTTCACATGGATATGGCTTCATCATTTGTGATATAAAATGTAAATAATAATAGAATACACTATCATCGATATTAACATAATTCATAATTTTTATATTACACCTTTATATTACCACGATACACTGCAATTGATATGACATTTTATGTACGCGCAATAAAATTCTTCTGCAGAATTGAAATTTTTTAATCATGCAAAAGAATTCAATCTTGCAGATCTAATAACATACATGTATATACACTTAATGTATGTTTTAATGATAATATTGCAATATACAATGTAAAAAGCAGCGATTTTGGCATCTATCGCATATTCGGCGTATTGAGCTCATTATAATGAATGTGGTACTATTTACTACTTATATTCTTCAGTTTTTATACATATGTGATCAAGAATTTGAATGTTATAATTGTACAATAGAATCTTCATTCACGCTTTCATAGAAAATTCATACAAAGCAACATGTTGCATACAGGAAAAAAGAACATGATCACAGTTAACAAAGATATTACATTAATAAATTAGTATCAAGGTAACGGAAAGGTTTGCACTATATTTCTATATCAATTTTAAAGAAATACCTGCCCTACTTAACTTTGAGCAAGCACAATCGTCCCATTCTGACCATGAGTTCCAGGTTGTGTAACTGGAACATTTGTGGATGTTTCGTTCTCGGTAACTGGTAACGTCGAATGATTATTAGCACTGGCTGCAGCTAAAACTTTGTTGCGTAATTCAAAAACCTGTTGTATTGCTTTACGAAAGCATAAGAAATTGTAGTCTATTACTCCTGTGTACATACAAAAGTAATATTTTCATTATTAGTTACTACTTTGTTCAAAATAATCTGAATTTTCTTTAGCATCTGTAATTGTTTATGTAATTTACCTTGTCGATCAAAATTGTCTTCGCGAAGAATGCAAACAAGAGCTAGGAACTTGTTCACCTCCCGTAAGTAAAGAATGGTACCATTATTCAATTTTATTAAACTAGAACTTTGATTGTCAAATGCTGCTGCTTCTAAATCATCTCTTAAGCTAAAATAATTGAAATTATGGAAAAATTGTAAATATCTATTCAATAGCGAATAACATTGAAAATTTTCTACAAACCCATAAATACAGGAGACATCTATGACAACATCTATCATGTCACAACAAAGCTCGTAACTCTGCATATCAACGGGAGAACTATCGGTTGCAATGTATATCTTTGATACCACATCAAACAAAAATGCCTTTTCAATTGCTGAATTCTAAAATGACATGTAATACAATGCTTAAGATTTATGATATATTATTTTACTTAAACTTGTACATATATTAATACTGCTCACCGATATTAATATATTTAATAAATTCTCCAATGTTGGTAATTGTGGTATTAACTTCTGTACAACTTTGCTAAATGCTTCAAATATACTATGGTCATAGATTGATGTTAAATGAAAACTCAAATGTATCTGATCATATCCTGAAAACAAAGTATTATTTTAAATTCTATGACTATTAAAATATATCTTTTAGTTAAAATCTCTAAAATATCTGCAGCTTTCATTTACCGGAATCAGCTAAGTCATCGTTTGCTCTAGTGTGAATATCTCTCTGTGTTTCCATTTTATAGTCATCAGAAAGACCATCCACCTTGTGAATGAAAACTTCAAATTTTATAGTTTGATTGACTTTATATGCTTTTGTCACCGTCATATGTAATTTATTTAAGGCATCCATATAATCATCTTGTGCATCAATGACAAAAACCAGTGCTCCACAGCCACCAAAAATCATATCGCTATCAAATGTTGGGTCAAAGAAATCTATTTGACCCGGAAAGTCCCAAATTTGAAATTGTACAAAACTGGAGTTACTAATATCATCTTTAATAATTTTATTTGTACTTTCCAAAAATAACGTCTCATTTGGAGACATCTTATGAAAAACAACTTTTTGTATAGACGACTTTCCGCTTCTGCAATAAAAATTAGTGGTTTAAAAGATTTTAATGTAATCAAAAATATTCAACTATATTTACATAAAACTAATCTTATTTTATGATTCACAAATACCCCTTATAAATAAATGTACCTCCTAAGACCCATTAAGAGTATCCTTGGTTTTTGTTCCCCTGGTAATGGCCCCACAGATCCATCCCCTTCCCCGTCAAAAGTTGTATATCCAAAATCTTTAGGAAACGAACCAACATCATATCCATTTTGATACTGATCATCGTCGTCCTAAAAAGCATTGCGTTATTATGCAGTTATCAATGAAATTATAAAAACACAATTAAACGTTGGAAATAACTTTATCGTTACTACAGAAAATGATAAATAACAATGTTGAAATTTCAATAAATGAAATATCAGAGGACAAAGTAAACGCTATAATTTAAACCATTGCCAGAGTAAAGAACATGAAATTGCAAACAACCAATAATGGTACATATTGTTATCAGAATGAACGAGTCGGTGGAAAGATTTAATTGCAGAACCGTCATAAATATGGAGATTAATGGTTCAAGCTAAACCGTGATAACGTTACATCAACTGTTTAAAATTTTTTCGGTTCAATGGCAACGGACTCGATAAAAATTCCATCGAAACAAAACAATCTCAATTTCCATCATTGTTATAATTTTCTCTTTTCATAGAATCCTTTCTCTGCCATGCACTTTGATTATTTAGATAAATAACGGATGACTAGTAACTTGACTCACCATGTTTGGATTCGACACTCTTATTTTTTCCCTTATTTTTAATTAATAGCTTGACCTACTTCTTATTCCGAACAAAACAGATCAGGGCTTTTTGAAGGCACGGGAAAAAAATGTTAATTTAGCAAAAAAATACGAAAAGAGGCCACAGTCGGTTATTTGTTTATATTTCTCAAAGACGTCACTTTCCTTCGAGTTCTTTCGCGAGTACAGTCCAAGTTCTGCGGACTGCGTATACACCGTAATGTACAGCGAGTTTCATTAATAAATTTCACTTTCAATTCCCAAGGTTTATCGCGCAGAAATGAGTTGAGAAATTGCTCACGGGCTGGGTCGCACGATCGCGCTCTGTGCTGCACTCGGTGGAGAATGCAGGTGGTTCGTGCACTTGCCACCCGATACCCTCCCAGTGGCGGTTCAACTTAGGAATTCTCGTCTTTTCTGTTCCCAACTCATCTCCACGCAGCCACTAGCTCGAGTAGGACCGTGATTGGTCGATTTTTTTCGGAGGAGATACAGAGTTTGGAGTTCATCACTTTTTCAGTCGGTTCTCGGGCTGCCCAGAGTTGTAACAGGTGACGAATGCATTAGCTGTCTGCATCCTCCACCGGAGGTCGCACAGGACGCGGTCGCTCGATCCTTCCCGTGAGTCTCTCAACTCATCTCTGGTCAGGATTCCGAATCAACAGGAGATTCTCCGTTCTATATATTGCGCCGCATCCAACAGGTTGCCAAGAAGTGTCCTTTGTTACCGATCGTCGGCGATGCACCCTCATTTGCCCCTCCCACTGCACATGCGTCGCCGTGGCCCCTTGCAATATATAAAGCAGTGGCAGTTCGAGGGAAACATTTTGAGTGGAGGATTCTCCCCTTTCCCGGACACGGTGGCAGTGACTGTGGTAACATGGCAGACGTCATTGACTGTAACTTTCCTGTATGGGGTCTGCTGCCGAAGAAGGAGACCGGCGTCACTCAATTTCTCACGAAATATCCGGAGTACGATGGGCGAGGAGTCGTCATCGCGATTCTGGATTCGGGGGTCGATCCTGGCGCGCCGGGTATGCAGGTGAGATTCTCCCCGATCGTTCTCTCGGCGGTCGTTCACCCTTTCTTTTGGCCAATTTTCTTTGAAAATTGGAAAAAAGAGATCGCCGAGCATCGACTCGTCCCGGATCAGATTTCACCTGATCCGAAAAGCACTCGGGCTTCGATGCTCCGATAAGATCAAGGCAAGATGCAGGGACACACGGGATGACTTTTATTTTGCTGCGTTTGAGGTTAAGGACCTTCGACCATTGAGGATGAGTCTTGGATGAACGGAGACAGATGGGCTTTGTTGGGGAATATTTCTTCGGAGCTTTAAAGCCGCGGAGTCGTCGCGGAAAATACTTCAAAATGCTTCTTTCCAGGATGAAATTGGGGGATAGAAATTCAATTTAAGGGAGGGCTGCGGTATTACTTGACTTTTATAGTAAGAAGAAAGAAATTCATTTTCTTTATGAGTGAACTCTTTGAATTTGTGGCTTTTTGAAATTGGCTTTGTTGTGTGCAAGACAAAGAGACGATAAGCAATGCGCAAATGTTTTACCGGTCTTTGATCTCTTTCTTTTCTAAAATTAAAATAGCTATTATAAATGCACAGGTGACAACCGACGGAAAGCCAAAAGTTATCGAAAGGATCGACTGCAGTGGTGCAGGTGATGTCGATACAAGTAAGGTCGTACAAGCTTCTGAAGGCTACATTACAGGGTTGACTGGTCGTAAATTGAAGGTAAATGAAATGTAATTCATAATCCTGTAAACAAAGGATGTACGTCAATATTTCTTATATTTTATAGTACGGGCTATAGTAGTTTACTAATGTAATTATGTAGTTCTATGAGTCAAACTTATGCTTCAAGTGGCCCATCTTCCCTTTTAGATTCCAGAGAACTGGAAGAATCCCAGTGGGGATTTTCACATAGGTACCAAGAACCTATTTTCGTTATATCCAAATAAATTGCGTGAACGCGTTGAGGCAGACCGTAAACGACGCTTCTGGGATAATGAACAAAAAACGGCATTGGCAGAAGCTACCAGGCAACTGCAAGTAAGTTTACCGATCCATTTAAAGCAATTCCCAACAACTACTTCTTTTCACCGTCCTTAATAAAACAACTAAGAACTGTGAATAATTAAAATTAGAAATTAACTAAAACCGGAATGCAAGAAAATCGTGCGATTGACCTTTGCTGTGAGAAAAATTCTTGGATCGAATAACACTAGGTCAATAAGAATTTAAATAGACTTTTAGACCATCCGATCCAAAGATAGTGTGTCGAGGGCTACACTGACAGTGGACAATTGAACCAGGCCGATTGTTTCACAATGTAGTAGTGATGGATGGTGGTGAATTCTATATTTGTTTTTGGCAGATTGATAAAGCAAAGGTGTCGATTAATGTTATATAATGGATTTTAAAACATGCATAGACTGTGAAATAAATTAGAAAATTCATATTCATTCAAGATTGAATTTACTGACAATATATTCACGTTGATCATCGGTATCACCTTGTTTCCATAAATTCATAAATTTCACTTTTTTCTTTATTAAATCCGCTCCTGTATTTGGCCAGAGAAAGAAGAAAATTTGTAGATTTACTAACAAACCTCGTTTAAACAGGAGTTCAAAGCAAACAAGCCCCAGATCAACAATCCGAGTGTTAAACTCGAAGTGGAGGAACTGGAAGCTAGAGTTGTAGTCTTAAACGACGCGGAGAAGAAATACGTGGACGTAGGGCCAACCTGTGACTGCGTGGTCTTCCATGATGGCGAGATTTGGAGGTACTTCTTTAAAGTCTCTTAATCGGCTCAAAATAATTGACATTATTTAACTATTAAAAATAAATAGACACACGTGACACCTAAAATATTCTTTTAGGGCATGCATCGATACCTCGGAGGAGGGTAACTTATCGACTGGAGTCTACCTTGGAGAATACACTGCTACCAGGGAGTTTACTTCCCTTTCGCAAGAAGACCAGCTGAACATTAGTATAAATGTGTATGACGAAGGAAACACGTTACAGATCGTTAGCATGGCTTGTAGGTGCACCTTTTTTTAGCTGAAATATTTTTGGATCGAGACGTTTCTCGTCCTCCTTTGAATAGAGGTAAAAAAGTTCCTTTGTATTTCAGCTGGTCATGGCACTCATGTGGCTTCCATCGCTGCTGCGAACTTCCCCGATAACAAAGAGCTCAATGGAGTGGCACCGGGTGCTCAGATTATTTCGCTGACGATTGGAGATCTACGTATCGGCATGATGGAGACTGGCACGGCTCTTGTGCGTGCCATGATTCACATTATGCAGCGCAAAGAGAAAGTTCACGTTATAAATACAAGCTATGGCGAGCAGGCAAAGTGGTCCAACACCAGTAGAATAGGAAAGCTCATGAACGAGGTTATTGATAAATATGGGGTTACATGGGTCGCTTCTGCTGGTAACCTGGGTCCTGCATTGTGCACAATTGGTACGTTAGACAATTTCAAAATTATATCCATTGGAAGAAGCTTAACATAATACTTGGTTAATACTTGAAATTTTTTGTTTTTTAGGAACTCCGCCAGATATCAATTCTAATAGTATTATTGGTGTCGGAGCCTACGTGTCTCCTGATATGATGATAGCGGAGTATTCTTTGCGTGAGAAATTACCAGGAATGCCGTATACGTGGTCTTCGCGTGGTCCAACTATTGATGGGGACTTTGGAGTGACGGTATGTGCTCCAGGTGGAGCTATTACGAGTGTACCAAACTTTACACTGAGGAAAAGTCAACTGCTAAATGGTACCAGTATGGCTAGTCCTCATGTGACGGGAGCAATAGGTAAGTCTGACTCCATTAACGAAAACGAAGTGCCACAGATTGAGATTTTAAATTATTTATAAATTAAACTCCAGCTGTTTTAATGTCTGGACTACACGCCAAGGGGTTGAAGTATTCGCCGTATAATATAAAGCGAGCCCTCCAAAACTCAGCTCGATATATTGACTCACTGGACCCGTTTGCTCAAGGCTCTGGATTACTGCAAGTTGAGAAAGCCTTCGAACACCTCACATCGTTTTCAGAAGTTCCAGAAAGAGACGTTAGGTTTTCAATTAATTGTGGTATGAATAATGCTAAAGGCATCCACCTCAGGGGGCACGTCATTGATCGATCCAAAGACTGCGCTGTCACTGTCGAACCTGTCTTCCTTGACAGTGACAACATAGGTACGTAATCCGATGTGAATTTATTTGCAAATTATTAACCGTTACCTGGAATTTGATCAACTTTTCAGACCCCTCGCGTAAGATCGACTTCAATTTGAGATTATCGTTAGTCTGCGATGCATCCTGGGTCCATTTCCCAGCTCATTTTGACTTGATGCACATGCCTCGAGCTTTCTCCGTTAGGATAGAAGGTGCTTCTTTGTCATCCGGTGTTCACACAACAAAGTAGTTATTTATCCTATTCTATTATTTTGATAACAATTACTTTTCTTAAAGCCATTTTCCTCGTTCTTTCCAGTATTCGAGCTTACGACGTGGCCAATATCGAGAAAGGGCCAGTTTTCCGGATTCCCATCACCGTAGTACAACCCTTGACCCTGACAAAGTCTGTACTCCACCCGGACTTGACTTTTACAGATGTCATTTTTAAACCGAACACACTGTTCCGACATTTCATCCTTGTCCCGGAGGATGCCACTTGGGCAGGTGAGAAACTTAATTTAAATATTGAATAATACGAATGAAAAGGCCCGAAGCAGTCTTTTGAATCCTTTTTCTTGAGATTCTCAAAACTCTGTTCACTGTATCATTTATCTCCCCAGTTCTGAAGTTAAAGAATATGGAGAAGGATAGGACCGGTCGATTCGTTGTGCAAACTGTACAGTTAAAGCCTCGAATGGCTTGTAAGGCTCTCGAAGTGAATAAAATTGTCAACGTCGCCTCGCAGAGCGAACTGGTCCACGGGTTTGCGGTACAGGTAAGCTCTCATAAAGTTCAAGAAATTTGCAAGGTGTTTGACCGTCCTATATTTAACACGTGTAATCATGCGTCTTAGAGCGGAATCATCCTAGAACTAGTAATTGCTAAGTATTGGGCAAATTTGGGTGACGTTAAAGTGGATTACTCCATTGAATTCCACGGTATTCACATGGTCGATGGCAACTTAACCATGCAATCTGCCGATGGGATCAATCGCCTCGAATTGCGTAGTTCTTTGAGAAACGAGGAAGTTGTGCCGAACATCTGCCTGAAATCTTCGGTTCAAGTCTTGAGGTTGGTACTACTTTCGCGGACAGTTTCCTGGATCATGAAAAACTTAACCGCTATCATTCTAATCTATCATTCAGACCAACCGAAACGATGATCTCGCCGTTACGCGATCGCGATGTGATCCCACCGGCACGACAGATCTACGAACTGCAGCTGACGTATACATTCCACATAGCGAAGGCAACGGAGATAATGCCGAATGCAGCTTTACTCAGTGACATGCTCTACGAGAGCGAATACGAGAGCCAGATGTGGATGATCTACGACAGCAACAAGCAGCCTATATGCTGCGGTGATGCCTATCCATCAAAGGTGAGTCCAAATCTATCTTTTAATCGCAACATAACCCTACTACTTGCTCGATTACGAGTAATATTCCCAAAGAGTGATCGATCTCAGTGCACGTCATTATTTTTTTTTAGTATACCGTTCAAAAAATAGAGAAAGGCGACTACACGTTGAAGATGCACGTTCGTCACGAGAAGAAGGATTTACTCGACAGATTGACCGACATGGCTGTGTTGCTCAATCAGAAACTAAGCTCTCCGATCAACTTGGATGTCTACGCCAGCCAGACGCAGGCTGTCATCGGAGGGAAAAAAATGCTATCCGCGTCGATTCCACCTGGCAACATTCTGCCGGTTTATATCGCACCGATGGCTAACGAGAGCAAGTATGTGAAACATCGAAAGCAAAGTAGGACCTGTCTTCTCGAGTTGGGCCCTTGGTCCTCGGAATTCGGGAGGGCCAATTTTCGGCCCTCGAAACGTAAACGGAACGTAAACAAAGCGTTCAAGAAGAGTCGAAACGTCTTTAGCTTAAATTCAAATATTCTCGTTAAAACGCGAACAACGAACCTTTTATGCTTTAAGGTATTCGAGGAATGCTACGTTAGGGACGTACCTGTCCGGCACAGTGACGTTCTGCAAAGATGACATCGGCAAGAAGGTAAACAACCTCCAATTCAAGTACATCCTGACCGAACCTCCGCAGAAGTCTAACTCCACGTCCAAGCAGGAGAAGGAAAAGGTCTCAAAGTGGGAAGAATACACGGAGGCCTTGCGAGATCTCAAATGTTCTTGGCTAGCGAAGCTAGGTAGGTTTGCTTCGGTTGATCCTTAAACGATCACTTCGAATAGAGACTTTCACTCATAAGTCGTAGTGACCTAGACATCTGTTCTAACTCCATGAATCTTTTATCTCTTTCTCGGTTTTGGTTCGTCCTCTAGCTCCTGCCATAAGTAAGTCGTACACGGTGATACACATCTCTCGAGTGTAAGAATCCTTTGTCGTAGGAGAAGACTGTCGAAACTCCTCGGAAACACCTCCTTTGCACGTCCACCGTAACAGATGGGCATGATAAGAAAAAACTTAACTTGATTTCAATTTATCTCCGATCTTGGGGCGAGACCCGATCTAAATGTTCTCCTCTTTTACTCCGTTTTCTTTTCTGCAAGCAAACTCCGCATACTCCGCATACTCGTTACCCTGTGGTCACTAAAAATCATACGATGTGTCACTAACGATACTTTTCTCTTCCCCATAAATACCAGAGCCTGGAGAACATTCGAGGGTGCTCTACGAGGAGTTGAAGAATGCTTTTCCTGACTACCTGCCAGTGCACACCGCGATGTTGAATTCCTTGGACTCTCCCGAAGCCCGATACCACGTACCTCGAGAAGACCTCACCGAGCCAGCCATCCACTTTGCGAAGCAGATCATCGAGATCGCCGATATCGTCATCACTGAAATCGACCAGGACAAATTGCTGGCTTATTACGGCTTGAAGAACGACCAGCGGCAGGACGCTGCCAAAATTAAGACTACGATGGAGAAGCAGAAGAACTGCCTGGTCGAGGCGCTCGTGAAGAAAGGATGCGCCCTTGCCAGGTTATACACCTACGAGAGGAAGAAGGGCGAGGGCGACGGAACTCAGCAGCAATTGCTCGACAATGTCACTTCCGTGTGGGTCGACGTGATGAAGTTCGTGGAAGCGACGGATCCCAAGGTAACGCCTCGGACCGGAGAAGAGAACATACCTAGACGTTTTAAATGAATACAACGCTCGTCCTGAGATTTTGGTATCACTTCTGAGATCGTCCTCTTTCAGGCAATAATTCTCTCGCTGTGGCACGCGTACATCAACAGGCATTTTGGTCGATACTTGAAGCTGTTGCTGCGCTACTACGAGGACAAGCAACTGAAGGAGGTCGACGAGAAATGCATAGAGGTCGCGAAGACCTTAGGCTGGGAACACTTTGCACGCCACGTCGCCTCGAGTATACCGTCTCGATACCCCGACTCTTATCAAATGTTTTGATCGGCGATAAACGGTTAGGAATTGATCGATTGTCCGCAAACCCTACACCTTGGACTAACCGGTGAAATGGACGAGTTTTTTTTGTAATATCATTTCTCTATTTTTCTTTTTCCTTTTCTTTCAGACACGTACGGAGAGCAAGTGGCCCACGGCTGTCGTCCTAACTTTAAGATGAAGCAAAATAACTGTATAACATTGATGCATGGTTCGAGGGGCAATGTCGTTCACAACACCCGTGGCTCCTCGATCACGGGTGATTCGCGCGTTGCAAGATAATGGATATTAAAGAATAATTTTAACGATAGTAAAGGAAGTTCTAGCTTAGTCGAATGATCGTTCAAGGGAGTTCCGGAGGACTGCCGAGGGAGTGTCGAGGGTACATCTATTTATTCCCCGCGGATTCGATCGATTTTTTCTACTCAAAGTTCCGACTGGATTTTACATTTAATCGCCCACGGTCGACGCGGGACGGGGCGTATATATGTATATGTAATTGCGCTTGTAAATCGCGAAACCGATTTAGGATGAAATATATACACGCGAAGAAGAAAGAGTCCACCTTGATGTTTCGCGAACAAGTATTACCGTTTTAGCTACCGCGACGTGCCATCGCCATTTTATGATGTACGGTGTAGCTGGCTCTTAAGTTCTTTTTCCATTTTACGATTACACTCGCATTGGAGTTTTATTAACGGAACCCAGACGTCATCGCTCGACCCGAGAAAAGCGTCGGACTCGCTGAAACTCGCGAGCGACGAGGGACAGATCCTTTGTTTTTTTTTGTCGTATCGCTTCGCAGGAAAATACCGAAAATATCTGATTTACAAACTGGTGCCATGAAGATCAAATAAAAACTGTGAAATCTACGTATTTCTTTTCCCGGTGCACGCGACGCTTGGCTTATTTGTACAGACATCGAAGCGAGGTACCGAGTTCTCGACTCTGCCAGGATTAAAAAAGAAACGAATCGAACGTAGTGGATAAGAGGATGAGACACTTTAGGAACGTACTCGAATGACGTACGCTTCAGAACCTTCCGTACCCTCCTCCACTGTTCCAGCCTCCACGACCGAATCCTCCTCCGCCACCTCGGCCAAACCCTCTACCAAAACCTCCACCTCGATTAAAATTTCCACCGCCACGTCCGAAGCCTCCCCCGAAATTACCGTTCCCATAACCGCTTCCTCTCGCCCCTCTGAAGCCACCTTCTCCTCGCATGATCTTCGTCGGAGGTCCTCCGTTACCCCCGAAACCGGTAGCGTGTCCTCTGGGTGGTCTTCGAGACTGGAAACCCCCCCCAGTGATCGGGTCCATTCCGAAACGGCAGGTGTTCATGCCGCATAAAGTTTTAATCGTACCCAGGAGCTGTAAGAAAAACAATTTTTAATGCAGGAGAACGGATGGCAAACCTCTGTAAGGATATCAAGTTCGGATAAAGGTACCTTTTCCTCCAACGGGGTGAGTTCCAAGATGGTCTCCGGTTCCTTCGCGGCTCTTATCACGAGACCCTCCAGGGCTGGTCTGAGAGCTACTACCGCAGCTGCGTGTTCCGGATTCATTTCCAAATTGATCCAGTTGTCCAATCTAACGCAACCGTCGATATACTCGACTTTTCGAGACCCGAAGAGCAGCAGGTGAATCGGGGACACCATGGTTAGCTGTTTGCACGACACGGCTCTGGTGCGTATCTGAAACGATATCCCCATAGTTCAGATATTTGTCTACGGCGAGAAGGAAAAGGGACATACTTTCTCCCCGAAGACGAAGAACGGGAATGGGAAGTTCTGCTCGTAGTTGCTACAATTCACGGAGGTCTTGTGGATCAACGCGGCCTTGGACTCCGTTGTAAGGACCTTCCGCTTTTCTTTGTGATAACAGACGTTTGGATAAAGGCCCATGCAGAGAAGTGCAGTGATGGTATCCAAGCGAACGTCGGCACCTGCTTGATAGTTCAGGGGAGTTGGGCATAGGGTCTCTTCGGGAAGCCCGGCGCTCTGCAGAAGAGCTTGCAGTTGATTCTACAACAAACGGCAGAATAAAAAATCACCGGTTACAGCGCTGACAGGGTTGAATTAAATTTTAGAAAAGAGAAAGAAACGTCCACCATCGAGCTCCCTACCTTGGCCTCCCAGGTGACCCTCAGAGTGGGCAGACTCAAGTTCTTCGATTCGCAAAACGCCTCTTCGGCGTATTCTCCCCCCGACCTCGCCTCTTCCCAGGCATGGAAGGCGTGCAACATGGCAACGTGGTCGCTGTATCTCGCCCCAGCGAACGCCTTCTGCTGGGCAGACAACCTCCTAACGTCGGGGCCCATGTTATAAACCTCAGGGAATGTAGTACTATTCGCCGCCATTGTTGAGAGGGCATCGCCCACTCGAAACATGCAACCCAATATCATCATTTTACCCAAACGGGGCTCTATCGGCAGACGAGCCAAGATCTTCCCCAGCGGAGTCAACTCGTCGTTCTTATCCAGACACTTCATTTCTGGAAAATTGAAAACCGCGCAATAATTAGCACGGGTGAATAATTGAACGCGCTCGGTAAATCAAATACTACGAAGATTCTATTATATACTACCTCTTAATACAACTTCAGCCTCGATGACAGCATCGATGGGTGGAGGCTCGATGGCCTTCGACAGAAACTGACCGATGCTGCCCAGTCGAAGGAGCTTGATACTCAAAGCCAGCTCATGCAGCGGAGTCCGGAACATCTCTGGAGTCATGTGCTCGTCCATCTTCTGAAATCGTGTCCTCGAGCACAGGTGGAAGCAAAATCCGGGTCTCACGCGACCAGCGCGTCCTTTTCGCTGTTCCAAATTGGTTTTGCTCGCCCAGACGGTGGCGTAATTCGTCATGTTGTTATGCGACGTAAACAGCTTCATCTTTGCCTTGCACGAGTCGATGACATATACCACGTCGTTGATGGTGATCGAGGTCTCGGCGATGTTCGTCGCTAAAATGATCTTCGTGACCCCCGGGGGAACGGGGTCGAAGACTCTGCGTTGATCCTCTCTGGGTAACTGGGAGTGCAGCGGAATTATCGTGTAGCCGACACCACCGAATGTAGGATGCTGTTGGAGGTGCTTCATCAGGGCAAATATGAGATTCCATCCTGGCAAAAAGACTAGCACCGCCCCTGGGATGTTCTGCTCCTTGATGTATCTAAGCAAAGCTTCGATCAATTCGAAGCTGATCTCCTTCTCTGACATCTGGGCCATGGAGTTCTTTGTCGCGAGACTGTAGTCAGGACCGATGGTCTTGTTAAGATTTTCTTCAGGCTCCGCATCTGTACATTTAAGTAGAAAAATATCTGATTACACCTCGCGCCAATCTTAATCGAGACTAATTTAACGACTACAATGGAATGAATCGGTTTACTAATTAAATGGTAATTTCGCCGACGTACCTCCAGGTAGATCATCCGAGTCTTTGTTCTTCCTTTTTTTTGTATCCATCGGAGGGACGAACGCTGTCAGTTGTATGCAGTCTTCAAGGAAATACTGCTGCACCGGGAATGCCCTACCAGGGATCTCGATGACGGGGCAATTGTTGAAGTACTCACTGAACAAAGTGGTATCGATCGTGGCAGACATGAGTATGACTCTCAAGTCTGGATACATGTGGACCATGTCCCTCAACAGCACCATCACAAAGTCGGAGTTAACGTCACGTTCGTGAATTTCATCCACGATCACATGTGAAACACCTCGAAGGCCTCCTTCGAGCTTTCTCAATAACACACCGACTGTGCAGAACATTATACCGCAATAAGGCCTTGGCAGACAAGATTCGAATCGCACGGAGTAACCAACCGATTGGCCCAGATTTTCACATCTCTCCGAGGCGACACGATCCGATACTGACACTGCAGAGATTCTACGAGGTTGTGTCACCGCGATGCTGCAGTACGCTCCTTGGCCTGACGATATGTAGTCATCCAAAATGAATTGGCAGACCTGGGTCGTTTTACCGCATCCCGTGTTGCCTCTGATTATGATAACCGGGTTGTCGTTAATCGCAGTCATGATCTCTTTCTTCTTCGCAAACACCGGTAAGGAAGAGCGTTCCTTAATGCTCCTTTGTAGATTTTCGTCTTGCTGCAGTCTCTCGCGCTGATCCTTCATTATGTCTTCCGACATACTATCCAATGGCATCGTAGCTAAAGGTCCTTCGTCGATGTTACACCCCGTCCAGGGGTTCCAATTCTGCTGAGGCGGAGACCAGCTAACCACCCCGGCTGGTTGAGGCACCGACGACACAAAGTCATCTAACACCTGGTTAGTCAACAGCGATATTCCTGAAGAGGTTCCTTCTTCTTTTTTTACCTCGCTTTCTTGCTGTTGATAATAAAACCATCTCTATTAAGTAATCCTTTTTATCACTTAAGCGATAACTTACTCTTATTTATACATACCATCTGTGGGTCGATATCGATTGGTTTAATCTCCAACTCTGCCAAAAGTTCAGAGACCTGGTTCGCTAACTCGGGAGCTATTTTGACAGGATATGGTTTTATTTGATCTGCATCTTTGACTTTCTTTAATGTACCGGTGAAAGCTTCGATGACTCCAAGATGGTACAATTGTCGAACCAGCGATAAAGCACAGCTTTTCGAAGCTGTTTGTTTGTTGGAACCAGTTTCACGGCCAGTAATATCTAAATACGCATGTTAAACGTTAAATAATATATACGATAAATTAGTGCACTGTGGTTAATTGTGCAAAAATATAAAATTTTATATACTTCGTCCAAGTTGCTTTATGTAGAGGGACATCTCTGCCATGAAGCTCCTATAAATAAGAAATGCTAGTATTAAAAAAAAAATTAAAACATGATAACAATCAACTAGTGAAGTTCTAGCATATCTTTTGTTAAACAAATTTTACACTTATAGCTGAAAATAATGTTAATAAGGCAAATTTTCTAGTTTTCTTGACCTATTATATATAATAACATCATTCTGATAAAACTAATTACGGATATAACTTACCAATTAATGGATTCCCGAGACCACTTTAGAGTACATCCCTTCATCTTTATGGAAGTGACAGCACCAAAACCATTATTGAATTGGATCAATGACAGTTTTGGTCAAACATAATCGGCAACCTGATTCGAGAGAGATACGATTTGCCCTCTCGAACTGGTTTCATGTGAGACAGCGTACTCTAAAATGGTCTCGGCTCTACTGAAGTTGTATTTTTGATTATAACTGATTGCCGGATATATTTTTTTTTTTTAGGACAAATCCCTCCAACTTAGTTCAGTACCAAACGCTGCCAACTTGTGAAATTGCTTCTTATGCTGTCAGAACATCACTTGTAAGCAGGCTTTAGGTTCTGAATTAAGCCAGAGGAATTGGTCCTGATCATATAATTCAAAGTCTAGGCAAAATCTTGTAATCGCACTATTACCAAATACTCTCCAAAATCTTTCTGTACCTAGTGTGGTCTGGACCAACCGGTGTGTACTTATAATCAGCATTAAGCTTATTTATCTGCATAAATTGATGTAGCTTTGACTTTGCATTTTCAATCGTCCAGTTGCCATGAATGCCTGAATTAACATCGACGTCTTCCGCTTCTTCGACTCTCTTTTGATCCGCAAGCCTGTCCATATACGTGTAATTTCCTTCACCTCGCTGGTAAGGCCTATAGGCTTTACCAATCTCATTCGGACCCATTCCATCTTCAAACACTGATTTCGTTGGAGCCTGTAAATTCTGGGTGGAACTTTCTGGTACAGGACCTGATTGAGAAGGAACGCTGACATCTTCCGGGACATCTTTTGAATTCACATGACCCGTTCGGATAAGGTAGTTAACAAAGTCTCGGGAAGCATTTCCCTGAGCATCCTTCTTATTTGTTGAATTACCAGCTCCGGTGTAATCAAACCCAGATACACGCAGCTCACACAAAAAGCGCTGTCGATGTTTTGGACCTGCGCAAGGGAAAGTTAATTTGGGTTCACTACTATAAGGTTATGTATAAACAATTTAAATTATCACAATTACATGGATAAAATAATAATATCTGTGAATATATGTATTACAGGGCTATGCAGAATTAATATAAGTTCAATGCTCGGAACAAAGTATTTCGAAGGGTACGTGAATAAATATGAAATTACCAACCTGTCGGCCGCACGTCGAATTCGGGATCTTTACCATTCTTGGCACACCACTGATGGAGAAATGCTTTTATATCACCCATGGTAATATTCGGTATCTTAAAATTGTTATATTACATTCGATGTATTCGCAACAGTTTTTTAAAATCCCTTTGCAAACTTCTAAACGATCAAGCCGGAGATATGAGAATCAATGACAGCAAGCCACGGCTTGCAATGGTTTGTAGAACATAGCTATGAAATTTTTTATGACACGAGCATTATTATTGCTGCACAAATGTGTGGTACTCGATCGGTCATTTCTACAGCGGGACGAAGGATGAAGAGCCACCTCTGATTTCGGTGAGAAATCTCAGAAAACGAGCGGCTCAATTCAAATAAAAAGTAACAACCACAATTTCTTACCTTCCACTCTTTAAGTCTTAACAAATTGATCTAGGATAAACAAGATATGAAATATATGATACACAAAGATTCCTTCTAATATAATTTATTAAGGCTGATGTTTTAATTTACACCACAAAATCTGCCGAGATCTGCAGATGTTCGGAAAAAATTATCAAACAGATAATAATTTTTTCCATTGATTACATACTGAGTTTTACTAAAAGGCACTATACTTGGAGTTACTCGTTTTATAAATTTCTGTGATGCTTCAAGTGTTTTTCGACGCATTGGTAATTGGTCTAGCAATATCAACACATATTTTTGGCTTTTTGGACAGAAATAAACTCTCAACGGACACCGCAAACTAAGGAATCTTAGTATTATGTTAATGCAGGTAAAGGAAATTAAACAAGTTAATATTTGGGATTCGCTGTTCACTACCACATTTTTAAAATTTCTTTTTGGATATTCTACTGCCCTAAATTTGTCCCATGTCCAGTAGAGATACGATAGTCCACCGATAAGAACAACCGTTGATGAGTAATACGTAAATAGGAAGAATTTTTGGTAAGGTGAGTTATATATGAGAATGCTATCGGTTGAAATTCCATCTCTTTGCTTCAGTAATGTCTCATTAGCGGATCTGGACTTTTTCATGAAGCTCCGTACATATTCCGTGCGACACGGTTTTAATGGCTGATTGCAAATAATTTTGTAGGCACGCTCTCTGGAGTTGAATTTAAATAAAATATCTGCACATCTCATCATCCTCAGCATTATGTTGCTCACCTAGAACAATAAAATAAGACTAGCGTCATCTATTTTTACTGTTCACTGCAATTTTATTTAATAGCTACAATTCAAATATGGGTGGAATTCTTCATGAGCACGAACTTTTGGAGGTTATAAATATTCAGGATACCGTTTCACAGGCTAAACGATAATATTAGACAGGTACTATACGTTTAATTATATCTGTTGCTGTTTATTTAACATACGAAAGGTGAAAATTGGAAAACTTGAAGTCCGTTACTTGATACAGGAAGAAATTATACAATTTGCGTTTATACCACCATTCGGTCACCAATTGACCACGTTCAACTACTCTCTCGTAAACTTCATATTTAGTGGTAAAAAATATGGAGAATTAGTAAGAAATGGAATTCTTTTTTTAAATGGTTTATATTTCGTAGCTATCACACCTACTGTTTACGCATTGAAATTGTTCATAATTATCATAGATCTGCTCCTAGTTACACAACAGGTTCAATAATTAAGTCAATATCTTTAGAGTGAAATGTGTCTTCAGAATAATTAAAGATATAATGGAGAACAGACAATTGGAAATATATTTATTTATGATACAACCTATCATTAAGGACACTAATGTATTATTTAATTGGTCTATGAATATTTTGAGCTTTCCTCTTCACGGATTTAACTAAGGCTGCTAATTCTGTATTAACAGTAGAAGATTCCTTCGTAGGGCTCGTTTCCATATTCTGAGAAATAAAAATATCTGGTAAGTTTAAATTCAAATATACAAAAGTTGCGTGTTTATTAATTACCTTTTCATTGTTCATGTTATTTTTCTCATTACCAGCTCTTCTCTTTAACTTTTCGTTAATAAGAGCCTCTGTACCCTTTGTTTTACGGTAATGGGGATCAGCAGGGTCAATGTTAAAGTGATATGATGAGAATAATGCAGCAAATCTTTCATCCTTAACATTAACCTCAAAGTCATCAGCTGCACCAATTGCATCTTTCTTCTTTTTAATCAATCGTTTTCTTTTAGATTTTGATACGGATTGATTTTCTTCAATTTGTTTCATATTAAAATGATGTTTGTTCTCATCATCCGATTCTCCCATCATTAGCAGTTCTAGTTCAGCTTTATTTTGCTCCTCTACATGCTTATCAGCAGATTCTACTTCATTGCTCTTTTTCGATCTCTTTTGCGAAACAGATTTATTTTTAATGTTTTGAATTTCTTCTGCAAAATATGGATCGTTCATGTCAACATCGGATGGCACAGAATTTTCACTTCCAGAACCATCAGATCGTTGATCATGTTCTTCTCTAAGTCTCTTCCTTTCCTCTCTCTTTGTCTTCTTTTTCTCTTTACGCTTTTCAAGGTATTGTTCAAAGGGTGTTAAATTTTTATCTTTCTTCATTTTTTCCGAAATGAGTTTTTCAGTTTTTTCTTTAAGTGCTAAGCCCCAAGTAACTTCTAGTTCAACATCCTGTTTCTTCTTCTCTTCCTCCTGATCTTCGATTGATTTTAAAAGCGATTTATATTTTTCAATGGGATCCCCGTTCGCATCATTCGATTCGGAATCAGATTTATCTTCCTTATTTTGCAATTTATTGGTTTCGTCATCTATAAAAGTAATGTTGTATATAAATGAACTGCAAAAATAATTTACTTGTAAGATAAATGTACCTGAGTCTTCGTCGCTTGTACCACTTGCTAGGTAGGCTTGTAAATCATTTTCATCGACATCGTCGATTTTTCCAGAATTTAATTTCTGTGTAATTTCTTGCCGCAGTGGATTTGTTTCATCCCACGTTAATTCCACCTTAACCTGCTGTAAAGCAGTGGTCGTAAACTGCCGTGGCTGATATTTAGAAAAATCTGGTACTTTATCACAAACTTCCCGTGGGTCCTGTAATGATTAATTTATAATTAAATATTTACACCTTTACCTTTATATTCTGTCAATAAATATGTACTCACTTGATCAAAAGTCATGTCATCGGGTATGAATCTTAGATCAAGTTTAGTAGCAGTAGATTCATATTCTATTCCGTCACATTCCGTGTATATTTTGTTGGCTGTTTCGGGAGAGTCACAGACAATCACTGCATAATAATACTTCAATCGATTAAGTTGATATTGTCGTAGTTTCTCCATGTGATATTTTGAACCCTCCTCGTTCTAGCACAACGAAAATGATGTATAACAAATCCGAAGGAAAAATTTTGTTTTTTAATGTTACTGGCATACATACTTCGTCTTCTTCAATTTCTCTACTTTTAGCTTTTTCTCCTACTAGCTCTATCGGTCCTTTAATTTCCTCCTCCTTCATTCTTTGCAACCCAAAATCTGATGGGTAAATCTAAAATAAGCAAAAATAATTACTTTTATTCTAAATTATATATTGACTATAACATATTGTTATATTAAATTAGTCATTTATTTATTACTACCGTGACTGAATGAATAAGACCTCCACTTGGTAGAAATGAGTTGAACAAAACCATAAGGTCCAAGGCACGGATACGATCCCAGTCCATGTTGCATGCAGCAATTCGATGTGTAATTTCATCTGTTGCTTCTGCCTCTTTGTCTAACTCACCCCAGTCATGCTCGATTTCATCTTCACTGCCTGAAAATGATAGGTTTTTATTAATATGTATAGTATACTGCCTATTGCAATACCTTTGACTGAAATATGCCGTGTTTAAATTAAAATATTACCATTGTATTCTGAACTTTCTTCCTCTGATGAACTATCAGTTGCAAGTATGCCTTCACCTCTAGCATAATCAATGGTAAGATCTCTCAATTTCTTTTTAGCTTCAACAGTTAAAACTTTTTTCTCATTTTTTCTTTTAATATGTAATTGCTTTTCATTTTCTTCTAAATCTTCTAACAGCACTTTAGAATCTTTTGAATCAATCGAATTGATTTCAGAATGCTCGTCACTGCTCTCAGAGTTCGAATCAGTTACTTCACTTGGTTTAATCCTCAGCAACTCCCCATTATTCAAATTATTAAAACCTCTTTTTTCAATTGTATTCTTTTGTTTACATTTACTCTTAGATTTTTTAACAACTTTGCTTTTCACAGGTTTTTTTACATCGGGATCACTTGATGTCGACTCATCATCACTTGACAAATCATAGTATTTTTTAAGGTCTTCTGTAGAAGTTTGATTTACAGGCCTACCTCTTTTATCAATTGTATATTTTACATTAAATTTTTTATCACTGAACATAGAGCGAAACCTCTTATCTATTTTTATTTTGCGTTCAGACTTTGGAATCTTTCTGAACTTGGGATCTTTCGGAATATGAGCAAATCTCGCATCTTTAAATATATCATCCATGATTTTTCAGAGAGATCTAAACAAAAAAATAAGACATGAAAAATATAAGACTGACGTATAAAACATAATCTAATGAAAATCACTTACTGACCTCGACTTAAGAAATTGTAATTTTTTAAAGAATTGGTTTCCAATTTGATACTTTATCATAAAGTGGACCTTTCAGTGTTTAACCTGGTTTAACCTCATACAAGGACTATGCACGTGCACAGCATCCACTGGTATTTACAATCAGTATATGTACATTTACAAGCTATGTTAAAACTAGTCGTTATAAAACCGGTGTAAGATAGTTTGTGTAAATGTACTTAAGAAGGTATATGTCCATTCTAGGTTAGGAGTAATTTCGATTGAAGACCACTAGGCGATATCGACTCGTCATGGGTACCCTCTCTGGTATCTTTTAATAGATCTATGGTGTGTCGCGGTTCGTCCAATTTTACCGGGTATTTTGGCGTAAACACATGTTTTAAACAATTCCGCTTGTTAAGCGTATAATAATATTTATACAGATATATTAATATTTCCACGATGAATCCGACAGAACCAACGAATAATGAAACATTGAGGTAAGGAGTCGATACATGTGATCTCTTCTAAGATAACCAAACTAATTTGTGGTATGGTAATGTGATGTATAAACATTCGATTTTAATGAAAATATTCAATTAGCCAAATATGTTACAACAAAAAGAATATTTTGAATTGATTTTAAATAATGGTTTAATTATTACAGTTCCAAAATGAAAGACGTCATAGATGTCTTAGCGATGCAAAGGGAGAAACGCAATACATTACAGAAGAGTATAACGATTGACTATAAAAATGCTACAGATAATTTCCATGTGTCCAGGTTTATTTTCGAATGTGGTATGTATTTTCAATATACCTTAAATGTGGTATATTACTAAAATTAGTAGTAAAACTCAAGTTAAGTGAAATTATGTACACATATAATTTGTAATCTGACATTTATTTTCAATTAAAGGATTAAAATTAGAAGCACACCCTTTAACAGTTGCTACCGCCGCTACTTTGTATCACCGATTTGTTAAGGAAGCAGTACCTCAAGGTTACGATAATTATGTAAGATCAAAATTTATATTATTATCAAATGTTAGATTTTTTTTACACTTTAATATTACAAACTCGTCTTGCTTCAGCTTATAGCATCAACATGCTTATATCTTGCTGGAAAGATAAAGGATGATCCTTTAAAAATAAGGGATGTAATGAATGTTACACATAATACCTTACATAGAGGATCGCAACCGTTAGAACTGGGTGATCAATATTGGAGTATGCGGGATGCTATTGTCCAAGCAGAGCTCCTTCTTATGCGAATGCTCAAATTTCAAGTCTCTCCTGACCATCCTCATAAGGTAAATATTTTGCCCTTCATTAAAAAAAAAAAAAAAGTTTCTGAGAAAATCGTTTATCCGAGGAAAATTCAATATGTAATAATTTGCCTTGTAGTATATGCTGCATTACTTAAGATCCTTACAAGCCTGGTTTGGAGAAGAGGAATGGTCAAAATATCCAGTAGCCAGAACTAGCATGGCACTTCTTCAAGATTTTCATCATACTCCAGCAGTTCTCGATTACTCACCAAATTTAATTGCCATTGCGTGTATTAACCTTTCGCTACAGATATATGGTGTAGTAGTTCCATTGATGGATGAATGTGACCAGCAGCCATGGTTCAATGTAAGGGAATGGTTAATTTGAAGTAGTTTGTAATTATACATTTGTTGCGTGCCAAATTAAATCCTTCAAATTAATAAATTGATTCTTTGCAGGTTTTTTGTAAGGATTTGACGAGAGATAAGCTGTGGGAAATCATGGAAAAAATTATGGCTGCTTATGACGAAGAACCCGAAACAAGGGATAATTAATATTTATAAGAGTATGTACTTAGGATGATAAGGTTTCTTAAACATGTGCTTGCAAGATGAAGGATACTTATGATACCAATAAAATTAGATTTATAATTACAAGTTAAGTTGACAGGCTTGAAATAAAAAAAGGTGACCACTTTTCAATAAATGGTGATGTTACTTTTGAATGGTATGAGCAGAGATCATCTCTGGTATGAGAGTTGTAAATCGTGTAATTGAAGCTTTAAATTTATTATAAAATCAAGCACCATCTACTGGTAGGTTGAGTTACCTTCATCCTTGAAGTTAAAATAACTCCCGCTAGAGCTTCACTTTTTCTCATTGTACAGACTTCTACGGATCTCTTAATTCATTGTTTCAAGCAGACGCGAGGTAAACAAATATGGCGCATAAATAATTCATTTTGGTTTGTTCAGGCTTCTTTTTCTCACAGAATGGGAGAAAGAGCCGTTATACACTGTTTCCATTCTGCTAGGCTGGAAGAGACGGTGTTGAAGATCTCCCGGAGTTTATTGTCGAACCGTTATTATACTCGGTTACGGATGTGATACGTAAGTTTAATGTTGCTAATAACAGTAATGAGCGAATAGTACAGTGCATTCGTTTCGTAGGGACGGACAAATTATTTGTTAGTAGAGGAAGGAACTAAAGGGAACAAACATGTTCGTATACCTGAGCAAGAAAATTGCGATACCGAACAATTTCCGTTTAAATTGCATTGCTTGGAATCAGAAACAAGGTTTCATAGCGGTCGGAGGAGAGGATGGATTGCTGAAGGTTCTCAGAGTTGACTCCAACGTTGGAGCACAAAGTGCAGGAGGAAAGGGCTCAAGTTTAGGCGGTAGTAATTTAAGTATGAACCAAACTTTGGAAGGTCACAATGGTCACGTTCAAGTAGTAACATGGAACGAAGAACATCAGAAACTGACTTCAAGCGATCAAAATGGTGTTATTATCGTATGGATGCTGTATAAAGGGTCATGGTACGAGGAAATGATAAATAATCGTAACAAGTCGGTTGTGAAAGGATTGGCATGGAGTCAAGATGGTCAGAAGATTTGTATCGTTTACGAAGATGGCGCCGTTATAGTAGGTGCAGTCGACGGCAATAGAATCTGGGGTAAAGAGCTGAAAAACACTTCTCTTAGCGGAGTGCAGTGGTCTCCCGATGGTAAGCTCCTATTGTTTGGCTTAAAAACCGGCGAAGTTCATCTATACGACGATCAAGGTATACTTTTAACAAAATTGAACATGGTGTCTTTAAGTCCTGCACATCCGCAGACAATAGTCGCCATACACTGGTACAACGGCAGGAATGGATATATCGCAACGGATTGTCCAAGTTTGGCTATTTGTTATCAATGTGGGAGAGTTCAATTGATGAGAGACGAAAGTGACACCAATCCAGTGATATTAGAGACTGGAATGACTGCCGTGTGGTGCGCCTGGAATACTTACGGGTCGTTACTGGCAGTAACTGGCATTATGCCGCTAATAACTAATGGAGAATCCAAGGATTCTAATGTAATTCAATTTTATACTCCATTTGGTGAACACGCGAGAACATTGAGAGTGCCAGGGAGGGAAGTGACCTGCTGCACGTGGGAAGGAGGGTCTTTGCGCGTTGCTCTGTCCGTCGACTCCCACATTTACTTTGCTAATATTCGTCCCGATTATAAATGGACGTACTTCAGCAATACGGTAGTATTTGGTAGCGAGAGGATAAGCAAAGATGGAATATGCGTCACTTTTTGGAATACTGGCAACAATTCATGCTATACCAAGTACGTTCGAACATTAATTTCTATGGCATCGCAAGGTGACCACTGCGTTCTGGCAGTTAGAAACGAACCCATGCAAGCATCCGAGCAGTTTGCGTTATTGGTCTGCAATGCCATCGCTACTCCTATCGATACCAAATTTTTGGACATAGAACCGTTATGGTTGACGATGACTGGCAATACGGTTATCGCAGCGTCCAAGAATAATTTTATATTGTGGAACTTCCGTACACCTCGCATTTCGGCATTGAATGCGGGGAGGACTCGCCGCGATAAAATTTATCACATCGACGATACCCCAACAGGAGTCACAGAAGTAATCCAGGACTTGGACAGAGATCGGGCATTCGAAACTCCTACTAACACCAAGGCTACCATGGATCCGATTTGCTGTTTGTGTGCGACTGAGAAGATCCTGCTTATTGGAAGAGAATCTGGAATGATTCAACGGTATTCTTTACCCCAAGTAACGCTTACGAACAGATACAGCATCGTCAGTAGACCCAATAAAATAGCGATCAATTGTAATTCTTCGAGAGCAAGCATTATGGACACTTCTGGTATCTTGACGATGTTGGATTTTGACCCCCAGAAAAGCATGAGTTCCGGGGACTGCGAGGATGTCGGTAAATTTGAGAGGAAAGACGTATGGGCTATGTGTTGGGCACAGGATAATCCAACGTTGCTGGCAATTATGGAGAAGACGCGAATGTACGTTTTGAGGGGTCTGGACCCTGAAGAGCCAATATCCTGTTCTGGCTACATTTGCTCTTTTCACGACTTAGAGATTCGCTGCGTTCTGTTGGACGAACTCGCTCAGAGACCGGACGATCCTCGCCCGGAATCGATAGTCAACCTCGAGGTAAAATCTCTCAGAGATACGAGGGAGTTGTTAGCCAAAGTCGGTCTGAAGGAAGCTAACAATTTTATACAGGATAATCCTCATCCCAGACTGTGGCGTTTGCTGGCGGAATCGGCGTTGAAGCACCTCGACTTGGAGACCGCAGAAAATGCCATGGTCAGATGCACCGATTACTTGGGGATCCAGTTTATCAAACGTCTACACAACGTGCACAATGACCAGCTGAAGAAGGCCGAAGTGGCAGCTTTCCTCGGCAACTACGACGAAGCTGAGAAGCTTTATTTGGATCTAGATCGTCGAGATCTAGCCATCTCGTTGCGCCAAAAGTTGGGGGATTACTTCCGAGTTCTTCAGCTTATGAAGATGGGTATCGGAGGATCCGACAAGCAGATGGAGCATGCCTATAATAAAATAGGTGACTTCTTCGCGGAACGCCAGAACTGGGAAGGTGCAAAGGAATATTACGAAAAGGGTAGAAACTTGGAGAAGCTAACGCAGTGTTATTATAAACTCGAAGAGTACAGTGAACTAGCTGCGACTGTGGATCAGCTGGCAGACAAGAGTCCAGTTCTGAAGACGGTGGCAAGGATGTTAGCATCGGTGGGTATGTGTTCTCAAGCTGTCGCGGCATACATCAAGTACGGAGACGTCAAGCAAGCGGTAGACACGTGCGTTCGTTTAAATCATTGGGACCAAGCCTTGGACTTGGCGAAGACCTACAAAATGGCACAGATCGGTGAACTGCTCAACAAGTATGCCAATCATCTTCTGTCGAATGGTAAGCGATTACAAGCTATAGAGCTTTTCAGAAAAGCAAATTATCATCTGGAGGCTGCCAAACTGCTGCTCGAGCTTGCCGAAGACCAAGCCAAGACCAGGACCAATCCCCTGAGGGTGAAGAAGATCTACGTACTCGCGGCATTGTTGATCGAAGACCACATAAATATTACACCAGCTGTCAAGGGGGCCCGAAGCAACGTCGTCATGGGCTTGACGGAGAGCAACGAAGATGCCAGGGTCATCGAGAAGGCATGGCAAGGGGCAGAGGCTTACCATTTCCTTTTATTGGCACATCGACAACTTTACGAAGGCAATTTTGAGGCTGCGACAAAGACTGCTCTTAGGCTCAGAGAGTACGAGGAGATCTTAGAGTCGGAGGACATCTATTGTCTCTTGGCATTGGCCAGCTGCGTAAGTAAGGCATTTGCTACTTGTTCCAAGGCTTTCATTAAACTCGAAGCTTTGGAGAAGATCTCCGAAGGCAAACGAGAGAAGTACGAAGAGCTTGCACTGAATATTTTTACCAAGTATAGTCCTAAGAATTCAAGTAATACTAAAGCCGAGTGCGTTAACTGTGAGACCATGGTACCTGATTGGTGTGTCGTTTGTCCTAACTGTACGTCAAGGTTTCCTGCTTGCATCGTTTCTGGAAAACCTTTAATGGATCTCAGAAATGCCTGGATATGCGTAGTGTGCAGACATCACGCTGCCACGGACAGAGATGTCGTTAACGTCAATGCATGTCCTTTGTGTCATAGTACAATCACGCAGATACAATTGCCGATTAGAGTTTCGGGATAGTCCACAGGGCATCATCGAAGCACCCGATGCACAAGATTTTATCTACAGTTTTTCAAAAATCCACCCTTTCGTTCCTTCGATCCTTAGTCGTATTTCCTTTACGCGTTAAGGTTGCGTATCGGTAGACAACTCACTTTCGTTCTCGTCTTTTTCGCTTTTCGAAAGTAGTCCCTAATTTACGTCGATCTCTTTCTCAATTACAAAGACTGCTAGGTTTCTATTATACGTGGAGCGTACATTTAATTATCAGCCTTTAAGAGGGACAGTAGTATAGTTTTTAATTGTATCACCGATCGATTTTACTTATGCTTAATACTTTTAGTACAAAGGCAACTGCATCCGTCCGTCCACATTTCCATTGGGATATTTATATGGATCTAAGACTGTAAGTTTTAATCCGAATAAACGCACGTTTAATTCGCATAATCCTGCTCTGCTTTTAGGTGTAACACCATTTTCAATTAGGATTATCTTTCAGTCTCATTGTCAGGAAATTAATGAATTGCGTTATGTAACGTTGCATTTTTCATCGCGTGTACATCGAAATTAAAATCAGTTTTGATGTGTACTAGTTCCAAGCTAACCGAACGAGGGCCTATTTCGAGTCCACCCGTTTCCAATTTGCCTCGCATTTTCGCTGAGTCTCGCTATTTTTCCCAGCAATTATGCGAGTCGAAGCACCGTAGCTTAGATTCCGCAAGGGTTAGGCACGACGTGCTCGAGTCGAAAGCTTGATCGCGGTATTGTGCGGTTACTAATAAACGTGGTCGCGAGTACGCCCCACATACCTCGTGGAACCTAATATGCAATCCGTCCATATTGAGCGGAGCTCATTGTCCGCTCCGGGAAACGTAACCGATAATCGCCGTCTATTGTCAGGTTCGATTATCGACCGACCAGCGCCTTGGGATTGTGCCTGGCTGCGCGAATTAATTCGTTCGGAAATGTCGGATGTCAAATATCGCTCTAAAATAAGAAGATATTAGTGCTTCAGTGGAAATTTACATAATTACGATGTTTAGATATTTAACGACGATGTAAATGGACCAGGAGACACGAAGGGTGTACACGGTGTATCATTTCCAGGTGGAGAAGGTGGTGTCAATGGAGCTTGGAGACATTCGAAACTTCAGTGAATCGGAACCACGAGAATATCCGCCGCCATGTTTGACGGGGTCTCCGATGAGTCGTGCTTCTCTTTATAACAGTTCCGTAGAGAGGTCATTTCGAGTAATTGTAACCGTTGGTAACTCGTGGTATGCTTTTCCGTTAGCGGTTCATTAATCGGAGGAGTTCAAGAGATCCCGTTTTCCGCTTGTTGCGGTACCATAACGCATCGTGATACCTCGCATCCGCCATTTCCAACCCCGGGTGATTACTTCAAGTTGAGCTTCATTAACGTGCCCCGCAACATTTTCATTAGTATACCTCGGCGCAAAACAAAGAGGAATCCTGCGGTACGACCGCGGACGTTCTTTATTCCCTTCGAGGGAATCCCTTGTATTCCTCTTCGAGGTCCCGAACGCCGTTGGTCGACATTACGGGCACGTTTAATGTTAAAACAAGGAAATAAAAGGATTCCTCGTCCTTTGAAAGACCCTATTACGGGAACTTTCATCAAATTTCCGTGAAATTTGATTCGCAGCGTTCTCGTTCTGGGGAGGGCGCTGGCGGGGGTGCACAAATTTTGCAGTGATATGGATTTAACGCCCGACCGTTGTACCCGGTTATTCTAAGCCGAGGTCGGATGTGAAGTAATACGCGTATCATTCGGAATATCTCTTACATCTCCGTTTCGATGCTTCATTGAGTTAATGGCGCGTCAAAATATTTTAATCGAAGCTTCTTTAACGGTTTTTACCCATGATGCACCGCTCGGGACGCGCGCGTTACAAGTCGAGGTTATGGCGCGCGACTTGAAAACGCGCGCAATCGGAATCGTTTCAGCTGCGATTACGTATTCGAGGGTAGCGTCCCGGCGCGAGGCAAGCCGAGTCGAGCCGAGACGAGCCGAGCGGAGAGCTCGCTCGCAGTCCGCTTCGGCCGGGCTCGCTCCGTGCACTCCACTACGAGCGATCTACCGCTATTCTACGCACACGCGCGCACCGTCTTCTCGCACGTATTGCGTTCTTCGATTACGCTCGGCCCAGCTCGGCGCGGCTCGGCTCCGTTCCTCCGCTCGTACACGCCCAGCTCCTCGCGAGCAGTGCCAGGCGGAGCCGAGCCGAGCCGAGCCGTTGCGGAAGCTCGAATTTTCAGTTCGCGTTTTCCGCCGATTTTCCGATTTTCCCGGGCCGCGATCGATCGAGTCCCACGCTTAACTCGGCTTCGTTCCATTTCGCTCGAGTCGGGCCAAGCTGAGCCGAGCCGAGCCGAGCCGAGCCGAGCCGAGCCAAGCCACGTTGGTAGCCATTAGCGGTTCCGCTTACTCAGCGATGTACCGACACGAGTAGGAATATCTATGCCAATATTGATATTATTGAAGTTATATTAACAATAAGCGTCAGAAGATATAGCATATATATCAGCATAGAATATAATAACCGTTGAGGTATCCATTACGACTCCACGAAGAATTCAAGGTCCTTCGTCGAACATGGATCTGGAAAGATTGATCAATGAAGTGTACGTCAGGCCAGCGATCTGGGACCAGAAGAACACGAATTACCATAACCGTGATATAGTGACGAGGATGTGGGGAGAAATAGCCAAGGCTTGCGAAGTCAGTAGTAAGTATATCCGAACTGCTCCTTGAAATCCAAGGGTGAGGAAAGAGTTTGGTTGGTAACTGTAAAAAAAGGATCGGTTAAACATTGGCAGGACGATGCTCTTTACCTGGATCCTGTAAATCCGAGCCGGCAGGTCGAGATCGTAGTTTTTAAGAGGAAATAGCTGAAAATGGCCGACTGCTCGGGAAGGATCTTCGTGCCTTCACTGGGCAGCGAAGCCGACCGTGGCGCTCCGCGCGGCGTGGTTAGCAACTATCCAGGATGTGCCCAGGGATGATATGGGAGTTTTACCACGAGGGCACTTAAAACGCGATTCTTACCATAAATGCATCGTGCGAAGGGCGTCGTGCCGTTAATTATCCGCACTGAGAAATTCTATTGTCCGGTGGTAGCGTTATTTTGATGAGAAGGCAGAATTTGAATCGTGCATTTAAATCGTCGTTGACGGGGCTTCCATCGATTTTTCGGATGTTTTTTCATCCTTGATAAGAGGAGAGTCGGATGTTTACGGAATATGTTTCGTTTTAGGTGAGGTGGCCAAGTCCAAGTGGAAGCACCTGCGAGACAATTTCAGGAACGAGCTGAAAAAGTCCTACAAGATTAAGACCGACGAAGCCGGCACCCCGCCGATCTTTTTGGAACACCAGTCCAAGTGGATTTGGTTCAAGACTTTATTGTTCCTGCGGGATCAGATGAACCCGAGAGTGATGAACGCTGGACTGTCGCACCCTTCCGGGGTCCTGGTCTCATCCGAGGACTCGCAAATCGAGCCGCACATCGACATCCTCGAAGGACACGACGAGACCCAATTCGACGAGGTCGACGCCGACTCTTGCCAGTCGTTGCTGTCCGTAGAGGAGAATCTTCAGCAGGTGGTGATGCCACCCCCTAAGAAGAACAAGGTGGGCCGGAAGAGGCATCTCTCTGACAATGTCGAAGACGATCTTCCCGAGGCTGAAAGGAGGAAATTTGAGCGCTCGCAGGGCAAAGCGGGCAATCAGGAAGAAGAAGACGACACTTATCACTTCCTGATGAGCATTGGCAACCCTTTAAGGAGTCTACCTCTGGATAGGCAGATGTTCCTCCGACTCAAGATACAGGAGTTGATATTTAACGAGATCTACTCGCAGAATCAGTCCGATAAAAAATACCACACCCTGCAGAACCTGCAACAACAGAGGACAGAAGTGAGGAACGTCGCCGCTGCCGCGGCCATTTTTCAAAACTGCTCCCCAGATGACTGCTCGAGTAACGATGCCTATTATAATTAACGTACAAACTCGTATAGATTATAGCGATCTCGATACAGATACCGTTCGAAATTGTGGATTCGAAAGTTTTAATTGAGGACCCCGAGAGAAGGATCGCAAAAGCGTTGCATCTCGTTTGTTATCCTTCTACGACCTGTACATATTTATATCTAAGACTGATAAGAGGAAGGCGTTCTAGGAATTAATGTAGCGTTACCGCTTTTATATTCAAATCTTGTGATTTGACTTTGTCGATGCGCTTGGTTGGGAGGAATAGTTCCTATATTTTAATTGTAAAATATAGTTGTTCGTGATATTCTTATTGGTGAAAATTTACGCGGTTGGATCCGATGGCGTTGCAGTGAGGATTAAGAAACTTTGGTTGGAAACTTTCCGATAAGAATCGTTTGGCACGTTTCAACGATATCGACTCTTGACATTCTATCCACTGGGTGGTGCGGATGATCGATAATTAATTCCACTAATTAATTAGACCTCGTGGTAAAGCGTCTTTACGGCTTTCGGGTTTCAGCGACGACTGCAATGGCGGATCGACTCGATTCCAATGTACCTTTCCTGCGTTACAGCGACGCGGCATTCAAACGCGTGGATTGAAAAGACAGTTGTAAAATCCACCGCGCTCGACCCGATTGTAACTTTACAAGCCTCGATGCGAACCGGTGGGTGCGGAACGTCGAAGTATGACTCTTTTGAAATCCCTCGAACGCTCGTTGTTTTTGTATCGGATTTCGCCATGCGCGTACATAGCGCACTCGATGATCGGACCGACGTTGATTGCTCGCTGTCAAGTAACGAGTAAGAATTTATACCCCCCGGGTGAAATTGAAATTAATTTTTGAGCCGACAAGTCCTTGAAATTTTACGTCCGAAAAATTAAACCCGACATCGCTGGTTCAGCGCTTCTACGGTATTATTAAAACCTATCGATAAGGCGTTACAATAATCCCTGACGAAATACAACGGACTTCGGCTTTGCGATGCAGTAACTTGATGCACGTAGTCGAGTCCCGATTTTCCAGGGAATTTTGCGGGACTTAGTTCTGGTCGTCATTTTCCTGCCACTGGATGTATGACTTCCACGATGGGCGATGCATGCGATGCATGCGATGCAGCCCGCGGTATCTATTCTTTGACGTGGGTGCGCTCGGGAGTGCATTGTTTCTATGCGACGCACCGTTTGCATTAGCAAAGCCTTTCATGAAACTATTGAGTGCATTCTGCTCTACATTCGGTATCCGTGCTCGCCGGTCTACAGGGTGGCTCGCACATATCGAGGCGCCGCCATCTTTAATTTTCATCCTCTTAGCGTGGCTTCGCCAAGTGGACGAGTTTCGAGATGTCCGGAAGATTTATTCGGAAACGCTTGTGCGTTAAACCGGAATAAAGCGAAAGTCGGATCGCAAGACCCGAGACCGAGTCGCGTTACCCCACGTGTTCGTTAACAGGACGGGTGGATACTTCATGCGGATATGTCGCAACTCACCGTGCATCCTGGATGTGCCACAGTTGACTAAACGAGAACCCGAATAAGATCCCGAGGTTTGATCCGCGAATCGAATTGTGCATTCGAGAGGGTCGCGTATTAATTAACCGACACGTATACCCTGTCTCTCCGATCGCAGCGCCTCTTTAGGCCGTGACGTCAGGTCGCAACGCTCCTTTCGGGGGATCACTTGTCGATGGTTTCGTAATGCAACTGCAAAATGCATCTAGCGCCTGCTGCGTCTGCTCCCGTCTACTCACGCCTGGTGAGCACTCTCACTCGCTACTCCTACTCGAGTTTCTTCATAACTGCTGCCCTCCCCTCGTATTTATTCTTTATCGCGACGGTAGTCGAGGTCATTTTTCAGTTTGAGGTTACTCGCATCTGCTCGAATATTCCCGAATTTTCTACGGTAATCCACCCGAGTCTACTCGATCTCCCTAATCTTGCATCTACTTTCCTACTATAATCGCTATTTATATATATTTTTATCTACTCCTGTTTCCTCGTATCCACGGAACGTACTCCTTCCGGAACAGGAAGACGGGTAGCCCCATATTACCGTCATGTACGCCTACCTCGCATTATTCGCATACGCGCAAACGTCTCCGTACGCCTACCCTGTCGGTGGAATACAAGTACAAGGTCCACTATATTCCTACATTGTCAGGACATCCATCCAGATAACGTTGTTTCTCAGAGTTTGCGCCAGTTTCGCCAGCACGCCCGGTCGACGTCCGTGCAGGTTATTGGACGTCGAAGACGCGACGCCATCCGACGCTGTGGGCGCTTTTCGAGTTAATTAAATGAGGTTATTAAACGCAGCCTGGTCTCGAGGCACTAGAGGAAACCCGACGTAAGTGCTTGCCATTTTGTCCTCCAATCAGTAATCACGTACTAAACAATTCCACTTACAGGTAATCCTGAATATCGAAAACAATCCAGAAAGTAAGTACACGCGTTTGAATATTTTTCACGATTAATATCGCCGCCCTAACTTTTGGCATAATTTTCTAGCTCATCCCAGACAAGGCCTCGTTTCGGCGAAGCGTCGTCGCTGTTTCTGAATCAAGATTTTGTGAAGTACCTGCAGTCGACTGCAATGACCGTTTAATGAGCTACGGTGTAAGTGTAATGGTTGTACCTTGGTGCATTTAGGACTGCTCGTGGGAGTCGTCGTTCGAATCGCTGACAATCGAGGTTCCACAATTATTGCCATATTGTTTGACCATTCCGGATTGAAGTCGCCTTTGGACTGGGGTACCATGCCGATCCCCTTTCGCGGGGAAAACTCCGCTGTCGATGTCGGGTTCTAGGCATAACTAGGTGTAATTAGGTGTAACTAGGTATAACTAGGCATAACTACGTGCACCATGTATAACTACATTCGAGCTGGCGCGCATCCCGTCTAGACGGGGAGGAGGTCGTCGGAGACAGACCGAGAGAAAGAGAGAAAGCCCGGCGAAACTCCTCGAAAAGTTGGCTCGTTATTTCGAGAATTTCCCCGAGCCCCGGAAGGAATCGAGTGTCGGGCCACTCGTCTCTCGGAGGATTTCCATAAGCCCGGTAAAATTATCCCGTGGAAACGCAAAATCGGGAACGAGTCGCTCGATCGAACCCAACGACCGGCCGAAATGCCAAGGCCGAGGACTCCCCTCGAACTCCTCGCGAGATTTCGTTCTCCATGATTCTTTCCACTTCCGGATACCTTATTACCGAGACCCGAGAGGGTACTTTATCCGAACCAAGGTCCTTTGACGAGGTCCTGGCATTCACTCCACTCTGGGATGGGACGATTTCCTTGGCGCAAGGATATCTGCCCTTAATCGTGACGTTACTCATTTTTAGACGGATTTTCTGACAAGAGTGCGCGATGTGTCGATTTTTATGTACATTCGGTTTATGTGGAATATGGGAACATTTTGCGTTTTTCTAGGATCAGAATTCCATTTGACGATGGGAACTGCAACGTAGTCGGGATGCGACCGTCTGCAAGGAAGACGATGGATGTCGTTTGGAGAAAGGGAGCCGGCAAGATGGGAGGAATTTTTTCTTTGATCACAATGTAAAATGTAATCACTTCCCGGCTCTTTCCGGCTCCCTTTCTCGTCGACGACGTAAAGGGCTCATCCTCCATAACCCGAGGCTTTGCTTCCAATATCGCCGGTATGCTCAGCGATAGATGGAAATGAAGAAAGACGGAGGACGGGACGGTGTAACGTGTCTGCGTCGCTCTACAGGCGAGCTGGGGGAGAGGGATATAATATAATATCAAACCATATGCATAAAGTATAAAGCGGAGGAGTGCGCTTTCAGAATTTCCGATGCACCCGTTAATAACGCTGCAGGGCTCGTTACACCTTTATTTTGCAATTTGCATGGAATTCGCTAGCAACTTTGCCCATCGTTGCCGTAATGATACGGATTAAACGGTGGCGAATAAAAAAAGGAAGGAGGAAATCATAATTTTAAAAAACGAGGAAGATTTTATATTCGCGTTATGCCGCGTTGCTTTTTAGATGATGTTCATTGGAGTGCATTTTGCAAGGGTTTTGTTACCGGGGAATAATTTCAGGAAGAAAATGGCGGAATGCGCACGAAAGAGGGAAGAGATCGATGCTGCGGAGGAACGAGGTGAAAGTGCCTACGTGTCTTTACGAAACGAAGAACAGGGCAAGAAACGGGAGGAGGAGAAGAAAAAAACGCAATGTCGGAGTGCTCGATGCACTTGCGGGATGCACGAGCAGACCCGAGAGTGGGAGATAGAGAGAGCGGAGAGGATCTCCGGCGTGCGCTGCAAGTCTTGCAGGATTTAAACGAATCTCCTTGTACCCCTCGGGAATTTACTTCGATATCCGAGAGGCCTGTAAGCTCCGGGTAGAAACCTGGATAGCACTGTCGCGACGCACGTCTCAGCAGTGAACGCTGTAAAATTCAGAAAGAGGAAATAACGCGTCGAGGATAAGGAGAGAGAGTGAGTCTTCGTGGGCCTCGCCGAAAACCTTGCGGGGATGTTTTCTCAACCCGAGATGCATTACCAGGAAATTTCTCAAAGACATTCGCCATTCGAGCGGTCAGCTTCTACGGGATGAAATAATGACACGGAGTCCTGCAGTTCGGTTCACGAAAGGTTAATGCAGTCCCTCGTGCTCCTGTAATTGCGACGATTATTCACGCTACTCCAAATATCGTGACGTTTACAACGCGGCGTTTACGCCCGGAAAGTTCGGCCATTCGTCATCCTTGTTTCGGGCGAAACACCTAACCGGTAACTCAGGAGGTCGGAGGCCAGGAAGGATCAGGACATTAAGGCTGTACCGTATGACCGTTATTTTTTTCCCTCTGCTTTCTTCCTTTTATTTCGACCTCCTGTTCCTTTTTCACGGGGCCAACTTTCGGGGGCCGGCAGGGCTAACGGCTAAACTCAACTCGAGTGCAGCTTCGGAGTAAAAAACGCTCTTAAATAAAAAAATAAGTTTCCGACCATTCGTAAATTAGCAGTAATCGTTAATAACAACTTTCCTGAATTTTCAGACGGGCAGATAATCGGCCCCATCTCTTCGACGTGACTTTTACATCTCTTCGACATGACGGAAGAATTTCTCAAGAAGTTGACGCATCGATTGGTGAGAGTGAAATGATATGTATATATCCGCAAAGAGACACCGATTAATCGTTCCTCGATGGAAGCAATTAGTCCTTAAACTTTTCGAGGATGAAGATGTAGCTTTGGTAAAATGTATGTGCGGGTCAAGAGTCGATGTATGCTCTACGCATTCGAGCGACCTATTGCTGACTGGTCCACGCGGGATGCAGGACAAACTAGTACAGAGGCGATGAAAAAATATCTCGAACTACCGGTTTGCCAACGTCCCCATGTCGCCATTCTCTTGTCTTATCGGCTTTAATTACCGGCGGGTCTCGTAAATTTGTCCAATGTATTAATTGAATTCATTCATCGGCGATATCCGTAATGGCGCGGGCATGTCGTAGGTTCGCGGAAAAAGAGAGGAAAAAAAAAAGCGAACGGAGTTACGAGTCCAGGATTTATTTTATGGAAGAAATATCAGGAAAACGAGGCGACGTCAAATTAGGGGTCATGAAATTAACGCGAAATACTTCAGACTAAACGTCAGATACCTAAAAAGATAACGCCGGAATGCCGTGAATTCCCGCCACCGTGTTCAGGATTTATTAAATATTATTAAATATGTGACGATAAATTGTCTCTTCTTTGACAGCGAAGGACGCAAAAATGGTTGGCTTAACGCCGCCATGAATCGCGGTCATTGTCGCTATTTTAATTTTCTTTTATCTTCTCGGGTATCCGGGGCAATAATTCAGGTGAGCTGATCTTAAGAGCACGTAATTACATAAACGTAAATTGCGGCCGGCCGGGGCATCAAAAACAATACGTGGAGCAATGGTTTGATGCGAGAGTGCGGTTTTAAATCTCGGAATGACTACCATTTTCAGGCCGCGTGGTTGGCTCGCGTGTTTTATGCTCGCATAATAATATTACCGCAGTTATGGTTCATAGGCATGTTAACGGTCGACGGACTTTTTCTTATTTTTAGTTAGCGTGAAAAATATTTATGCGGTATCGGTGCATACGCGGAGGGAACTAGGAAGCTTATGGATGAACGTTAACCTTTGTGGTTAGAGGTATTATTAGCATAATTGTTTCGCCGATGTATGAGCATATCGTAACGGAGCAGCGGGAATGCGTTCATAGTCCTTTCCCAGCAGGGGGGAATGTAGGATTTCGATTTTTCCCCATGCGACTAGCTTGCCTAATCACCCCATGATGAAGTGGAACGTCCACGATGAAAATGGATTAATTTATAAATGAACCGGAAGAAAATTGCGGGAATTCATTTTCTCCGGTGCACCAGTGCGGAAATTCCTGACAGTGATTTAACGATTTCATTTCCGTCACGGATTTTCTTCTCGTATGGAGAAATTCGGAATAGTTGGCCCTTCCCAGAAATATTGCCGATCCGATGTTACCTGTGGCCGTAATTGCGCGGTTTAACCGAAGTGTCACCGATTAACGAGCGCCCTGCCTTCGGAGGATGCGCATGCATATTCATATGCATAAATCATTTGCATCGATGTCGCCCAGGGAGAGGAAATGATAGATATGGGAAGAGACAGGGGACAAAGAGAGACGGATTAGCCAGTCGGGATCTAACTTCCTACTCGCGAACTATACATTCGCCCTCGACCACGTAAGTGTCATTCGACATGTGTGGTTGGGTCATGTTAGCGTTCTTAGCACGGCGAAATGGCACGAAACAGATGGCACGTTTTCACCTCTGCGTCATGCATTTCCGCGGTCTGGTCTGAACTGTACATAGATTTATGCAAATGATGCCGGTACTCCCAAGAACTAATCGTGTGAACAGAAAAATGACTCTCCGATTTTATTAACCATATAATTACGCCCAGAATATATCAATTACAATTATAATCAGAGGGGAGCAGAGAATTTCATCGCGGACGTTATTTACCAACTGGTAAGCGATTTCGCTGATTGAGATTTGAACTCAACCGGTAATAATCCTTATGGGCAATTTCGTTAAGTACGAGCGGATCGACTTGGGTACTCGGACGTGTAATTGACTAATTTCAATGAAATTTGTGGTATGGGCTCTGGTAATGAAATCGGCCATAGTTGCCCCGAAGAAAGATTCGCTCCCGAGTTGATTATAAATTATGGGATTATATTTTCACCTTCTATGTTAATATAGAATTTGTCTATTTAATCGTATCTCGTATGAATGGAATTATCGATCGACAGAGCTGACTTATAACCGTGGAATTCGTTCATCCACGGGGCTTATCAATTTTTATAATTTTTCCGAAGTAGTTACCGCTTTATGAAGCTGTAATGCGTTTCGCCGGGTCGTATTTAATTGATAGTAACGAGAGGCATTACGGCCATAATGCGTCGGGTGTTACTGGCACTATAAAGCCGCGGATTGGCCGCGTAACGAGAAGCGATAATTGACCCTACTTGCGAGCATGTCGTTACGATAATTGTCCTCTCCACAACGATTCGCTGCAAGTTATCGCGAGTTAGCGGTAATGCCAGCGTACTCGAAACTTCGCCCCGATATTCCAAGTTTTCGTCCGAGATGCAGATCTTTTGAATTTAATTAAATTTCCCCGTCGGCGGAAATTTGCCCCAGAACGCGGGAAGAAAAAGTTCTTCCTTCGAGTCTCGAGTTTTCCGATTTTTCAATTTCGAGAAGACGCGTCGACGGCCGTCTCGAGGGACTGTAATGATATTCAGCAACGTGATATAGTAGAAACAAGAGCCCGATGAATATTCATCGAGTCTCCGTACAAGTTCGTGCTTTGCCCCCGTCATTGAAAAAAACCTTGTTTTTTTCCATGTCCATACACTTTGCAGCACATCACCCACACGTAGAGACAACTTTGCGGTACGTCCTGTACCGGTACACATTTTTGAGGAGAACCCTCCTCGAGGATCGATTTCTCCCTTTGAACTGAACTCGACGACGACATTTAATTACAAGTAAAATGGAATACTGAGAAAGGAAGTGAAATTATATTCCAAATCGTTAAATTATTATTTTACCAAGGCCTATTCAGGATACTATATAGGCTGCACCGAGATGCACAGCGAGGCTAGATTTAATTATACGCAAGCGTGTCAAGGAATTCTTAAGATGAATACCGGGGAGTTTCTTAGTAATTGCATCATTAAGCACGCCCGCCTGATATGGACCAGGAATCATCGTTATCACGGCGCAAGTTGCTCCGATTTAATGGGGACCCCCAAGAGGACGGATCCATGGTACTCCCTGCAGAAGTATGTGCAATGAATACTTAAATTCACTTACGAAGTTTACGTAACGACGTCGATGATGCATGTAGGTGCACCGAACGTATGCACCGATGTGCACTTAGGCGCGTTTCGCCTCGGATCTTGTGACTTAGAAATGACGTTCCAAGGGAGGGTCACGAGATCGAGGAAACCGAGAAAATTGTCCAGCATTCGCCATCTCACTCGAATAATTGCGGTACTGGAAGCACTGGTTCGATGACTTATTATACTCCTCGCAATAACTTTTGCATTGTTCGACTCAAGACGAGATTGCAAGGCGAACGGACCTGTTCGGTGATGGCGCAAATCGCGTCTAGTTCGCTGTAAAGTTCAAGATGAATCGCTTGTTTTGTCTGGAGTCACGCTATGTCGATTATAAAAGACGTTGCATAAAGTAGGAATGAATGTGGCTCTATACTTATATTATTACGTACTCGATTCTGCCGATCACGGACATTACTTTTGCTGGGTTTAATTCTCGAACCTCCTTCGAGGTATATTTTGCTATTACAAGATTCTGACGTTCGAAAACCGGCGAAAGTAGTCACTCGCGCGTTAAATAATTGTTCGGACCGAATATGTCTTCAAGGTTTCATCGTTATACTTTACGATCACGTTATAATTTTCTGCCTCGATTTTTTTTTTTATCAAACAAGCCTCGTTAGCGGAAGTTGTTTCGGCCCTCAAAGTTCTGCAGAGAAGCCGAAGTCGGATTTTGGTAACGACGCCATTTTGGTAGCGGTTAGGGGTCGATAGTGATTTTTCGTTTTTTTATTTCAAAATGATGGATGCCGGACGGGTCTTAGATATCCCCGATCAGCCGGTGATATTTTTCGCCTGGAATCGTAAAACGAAATTTAACTACCGTATTCCAGCAAACGAGTTTCGCCGCGTTCTTCGTGTTCTTGGTATCGAGCGTCGCTCGTTCCGCCATGTTTAAATGGCGTCTCGGCCGGCGATAATTTATTGACGCCGTTGCGAAAACCCGCAAGCCGACCGCAAAAATCGCTCCTTTCTTAATCGGTTCCGATTGAGAACGTAGCTACATCGATTAGCAATTAGTATGCGCGAGTTCGTAGGTGGCGTGCAAAGAGGACGCTCACAAGAAGAGGACAAAGAGAACGAAGCTTTTCGCCGGAAGTGGCCTCAAGACGGCGGAAAAGAGTTGTCATTGGTGAAACGAACTTAACATCCGACTTGCGGTCTTTGAAGCCACTTCTTCGGCACTTATTCTCGTTCCTATTGAAGTTTCGCAGAAGTAGTTTAAGGGTTAAACGAAGAACGATCGATCGGTGCGCCGTTTCCTACGACGGCACTTTAGAGATAAATTAATAATCCCGCCCCAGATGTGGAACAATACTTAACATTTTGCGTTCGGAAAAGTTCTGGTTTAATTTATCTCGCATCGGATACCAGTTCCATTCTTTCGTCGGACCACTCGGCGAGAACGAGTGTCGTCATTCTGATGATAAAAGGAAATTCCGTGCTTTTAGCCCACGTAAAAGATCAAATATTCCGCGTCAAAACCACGCACTTCCGACGACGATATTCACGCTGCCATAACTTGCTACGAGTTATCGGCAAAACAAGAACCGACGGTGTAAACGGCGTCGTACGCCGTTACATGAAATTTAATGCTCCCGATTGCTTAACAGCTTTCCATACGATTTTCACACGAGGACGTGCTACGCACCATTAGGTGTTCACCCAAATATGCGTTAATAGGCGATCAGCTGTTCATTCGGGTAGTCAGCGATGGGATCGAACCGCGCTCGAAAGCTTAAATTCGACGCGATGGCGATTATTTACCACAGTTTAATATGGATCGTCTTGCCGGTGTCGAGTACGTCCTCCATTTACGAGCAAACCGGTATCGATACTCGGCAACGAGATCGGCTCGAGTGGTATCGATTTCCGTCAAAGCGAATTCGACCCTTTCGGTGTACGTACGGATAAGCGATAAATTAGTTCACATGATATCGAGGCGGTGTCTGCGAACGCGGTTACAAAGCTGCAATGATATCCTTAATGAACCTAGAATATCCGGATATTAATAGAATGATAATAATCGAGATATCAATTTTATATTCCTCTCTCTCTGTCGGGAGGACTTCCGAAAAACGAGACACGGAGGATGGCTGCGAAACGTCCTACCGAGCTCCTGGCAATCGCGGCCAATTGCGTCGAGGTGTGGCGACCATTTGTTTTCACTATGCTGACAGTTGACACTTGGCTTGTGCTTTTCTCGGAAAGAAATTCCCCCTTTTCTCTCCCTCCTCAGAAATCTGCCATTTTTCTCCGCTGGCTTCTTTACGATGACACGAAGTGTCCGCGACGAGACTCGGCGGCTCGCGGGGAAAAAAAGGATTTCTTTCAATTTTATCCTGGACATCGATTTTCCGATTCACTCGAAATTAGATTATCGGTTGGATTAAGCATCGCTCATCTCGATGGATCGAAAGGAATTAGGGAAAATAATTCAATACTTCGATTTCCAGCAATTTCGAGGCAACTTGTCGCATCCGTCCAATTCCTGGAACTTATTATTGTCCATTGTTACCTATTATCATTCACGGCTACCTATTGTTACCAGGAGTCATCGCCGACGACAAGACATCGCTAGATCGATCGAATTAGAATCTTATGAATCTAAGAGCACGTAACCCGATGTCGTAACGTGGTACTCGATTCTTGCAACCCGATATTCGATGCACGACCCTTGCACCGATCTATCGATCGATCCATCGATCCCTATCGATCTCGCTGAGAGTCACTGAAGGCGCCAATGCGTGTTATCCGGCGCCAATACGCAACGTATGGCGCACCGATATGCATAACTACATTTTACCTCGACCTAACAGTGAAAGTCTCCGACTTCGCTTGCACTTTCCGTGCAATTTGCAGTCCGTTGCAAAAAGCAGGTGAAACGAAGCCTCGGCGAAATTCCCGGGAAGATTTATCGGCCGAGTTAGTTGTTAACGAGACGTCGCATACAAGTAGAAAGGGTGGGTTTCGATTTCGTGCAACATATGCCACATTAACGTAAATATAAATTAAAATACCATCCCGAAAATAATTGCGATGCACGCGCGCCGTGCTAAAAGATCTCGACCTTTGCGCAAACGTGCCCAGGTGCAATATATTGCGAGCCCTTGTGCGGCACCACCGCACTCATCGTCGACTCCTGCTGCCTAAACTGCACGCCGCTCGATACCAACGTGAAATAGGTTTACCATTACGATCCCACCATTACCGACCTCGGTACCTCTATCCTTAGGGTCGTACCCGCTGCACCTTGTGGGAGTGCAGCGCCTACGCCGTGGTCATACGAGTACGACCATGTTGTACCTGAGTATGGGTATAGTGCTTACGAGTATAGGTACGGTGTTCCACGACTCGATCGGCTGTCGTCGTACCTGGGTGCGAAACGATCGCCCACCTGGAAAACCGAGGATTATATCTGCGTTTCTCCAGGTAAAGCGACACTAGGAGCGGGAATAAACGCGTCACTTTCTGTCCTGAATTTTCCTGAATTTCTGGGATAACTCGCCGACGTACAAAAGGGTGGAATCTTGGCAGAGGACTTTGATCAAATTCCGAACCCGATTAGGAGCTCGAAAAGTGGCTCGAGATATTTTCGTACTCGTTTCCGCGAGCTCCGAGGCACCTTCCTCGGTCGATTTTGCGAGCGTTGCTTTCCCCATAGCGATCAATTAAAAGATTTCGCCGAATCTCGGTCGCGTGACGACACCTCGAACGGGGAGCGTCGTTTCTTCCCAAGCCTAACCGCGTGTCGGGTTTCGGGGTCGAGGCGATGTCAGCCCATAGATACCCACCAAGTCCGTTTTTTACGCGGCTTATCAAACTCCCCGGCCATATATGGTAGGCTCGTGATGTCTTTACTTGCCAGGAGCCGATTTCGAAAACTGCGAGGCAGGAGATTCGTTTTCGCCGCAAATCACCCTTAAATCTAGGGAAATCCCGGCTGGTCACCGCCAATGGGCCGCGGCTGGTAATGCTTGATTTACAATTCGGTTTACATAAGTCTAAAAGGTTGGAGCCACCTTGCGATTCCTCCAAAGTACGGTTAAATGCAAATTTTATTGGGCGCGCCGATGGCTTGCCGTTACCCGGTAGGTCGGACCCCACGGGTCGAACGAACGACTCGCGAAATCTCGATTTGGAAGTCGTCCAAAGTGCGCCTTGTTGCGAATACCCCTCACCAGAGATGCGCTGGCAAAAATCTTGAAAAAAAAACCCTGCCAAGCCGAACGTAATTGTCAACTGGGAAGACAAAAAAATTGCGCTTGTGGGCGCCAACCAGATATTCCAAGCAAATGTTCAAAGCGCTGTAACTAACGACGCGGTTAGTACCGGCTCTTATTTCTCCAGCACGCGATGAAAATATTCCCCGGTCTCGTTAAACAAAATCTGCACGTCGTCACTTTTCTTCCTTTTTTCTTTTTTTAATCGCAATCTGCGCGAAAAATCCCGATCTCGCAGCCTCCCTCGAGCACGCGCGCATCTACGTGAGCGAATGCGCGCTGTTATCGGCGACCCTGCGATCTGGCTCGCAGGATATAATGCGCGTTCTCACGTGATGCGCGATAACTCGACGCATGCCCTTCGGATTCCGCGAGGGGCCGGAAAGTTCGCATTATCGGCCGGGGTCGGAGGTCGCCGATCCGACGAAGTAAACGGCCGAGTCCTGCATCCTTATTAAGGACGAGCGCGCGAAATTCCCACGTAAATCCAGCCGCGACATCCGACTCCGGTCAAGGTAATTTAACCGTCGACGGATAAGATTACGAGAAGACGCACGGATGAGCACGCGTGAACGATTCCGGAAGATGATTTTCCGCCCTTCCTCGGACTTTCCCTTATCATTTGTAAAGTTCCAATCCTTCCAATTGGAGTTCCTTACTCGGATAGAGATCGTTATTCGTTCGCACGTTTTTTTCTTCAATTTATTCTCAGATAACAATTTTTTTTCTTTCGATAATTTCTTATTTTCCCAGATGATTTTTAGAGGTGGAGATCGGGATATCTTGGCCCTATGACTTCTTATTCTCGTTTATGGTGCACTTTTATCTTTGGGCGATCCATGCTCGTCACGGTGGAGGAGCCCCATTGCTCAGGACAGTGCCCTTCGGATCGTGTTTTTAGAGGAGACGAGCCACGACATTTCCGCTGAGAAGAGAAGGGCTCGAGGGAAGACGTCCATTAAACGACTCCCACGGGGCTGGTCAAGGTGTCACGGAACAATATGGAACACCGAGGAACGGACTCGAGTAGTCTGAAACCCCGGAACAATTTGCAACAGTCTGGAAGTCGAGGACTAGGAAGAACCACGAGGGACGGAATTTTATAGGCTCATTACCGAAACTTTTCGCTCCCCACTCGCTGCAGGATTTTCTTCCCCAAGGAACCTCCTGGAATTTTGAGCAAAATGTTCCCTGTTCTTTTCATTTTTTTTATTTTTTGCAGAATTTCAGAGGAAACGATAGTCTCGGTCGGACGAGGGTGGAAGGATAAATGGTTCCGTTTTTTACCCAATCGACGATCGCCGTTAAGATGGAAGATCTCTCCTTGCTCTGAGAGTAACGTCCTGCCGGACGTTTTTACAAGGGACGATCAACTACATTTCCGCCGACAAGGAGGGGCCGAAGAAGTGCGCGTTGAGGAACTCCCATGGGAATGGTCAGGGTGTCGCGTCGTCTGGGATAATAATCCTGTCTCTAACAGCCTGTAACAGCCTGGGAGTTAGGGAAGGACAGAAACGAGGAAAAGAAAAGGACGAAGGGATAAGATCCGAATTATTTTCGAATATCTTTCCCGGAAATAAAATTCTTCAATTTCACAAGACTACGTGATCATAATTTGGGCGATTTGTGTTTCCCTTTTGATCCTTGAAACGCATTTGCAGTCCTGTCGATCAGGCTAATTTGGCGATATATTTCGGGAGCTTTTATGACTTTCATGTCCAGGACGTAACCATGAAGTAATTTTTAGCAGTATTTATGGCTCGTTACTCGGCAGTGACGTGCAGTGCCGCTCAAATCTGATAACGTTTAAAAAAAAGAAATAAACGGCGTCTCGTAAAATTACAACGGCTTCGTCCTCCTGATGAGAAACTGTCTCTGCATATTATTTCCTGTCGTATATCAAAGAAGCAGGGATATTATTTTCGTGCCCAGCGTTGACCGGAAATGTCACGTGACATTATTAATTTGTTATAAAGTTTCAGGGAAGGCTGGATTTAACAACTCGAATATTTTTTACCGATATTTGTTCGTTGCATCGTGCCGGCCTTTTCGTGTGAGCATTTACTTCAGGATAAACACTTTTCGCAGCTTTTTATTAACAAGGAATCCATTAAAACGATGCGTCAAACGCAGTTCGTTCCGGGACAAGAAGATGGCTCGTTCCACTTGGCTAATTGTCGGATAATTGTCTTGTCCAGACAGATGACGAGGGTACAATAATTACACGGCTTCATCGCACAGGGTCTAACCATGTTGCCGTTAAAACGCCAGTCGATCGATAAACATGTCCTTTAAATGATTAAGTCGGTGAAATATATCGACTGAAAAAATGTGCGTTAATCAATAACCTCCATTTCTAGTATATTGATATTCTGCAATAAAACGTGCGCATTATTTTAACGGATAAATCAATAAATGCGGCGTATGAAGGTGAAGTACGAGCTAGACCTTTTTTTTTCTCTCCTTGCAAAATCCGAACTAATAATAAACTTAGCGAATGTTTAAAGAGACGGTGGCATGTTTGGATGTCGAGAACTCGTACGTTGTTCACATAAACGGAGTGCAATCGTGCTCCCATTGTTCTCTCAACTTGTCTTAACTGTTATTGTAGGCGCGATGATTTATGAAACTACTGTCGCAGATCTTCATATACAACTGCAGATAGACCTCGAAACAAACTGCTCAAAGTGGATTTCACCCCAGCAGTCTCGACATCGACCACACCAAGGCAGCCCCATATAAATTCAGTCATGCCAATTGTTTATAAAATTATCTATAAGTACCTTGAGGTATTATCTAGAAATGCTGACACCCGACGACCGAGTTTGATCAACCGAGGAAGTACAGGAAGGAAAAACGATATTTTAATAGCAACGAGTCCGCACAATGGTATCACTCGTATCAATGGTATTTGACACCTGCGCAAAACAGTTCATAACATTAATGATTTAAGTAATAGTTTACGGTAATTTTCCGACTTCGATACGCCCGGAACGGTTCGCAGTATACTCTCGAAAATGAATTAAAAGTTAAGTCATAATACGTTGGCACATAAACCGTCTCTACTTTCCAAATCGAATAATCGGCTCTGGCAGATTTCGAGCAGTCGATCGATCGATCGGGATTTGCATGGGAATCGACAGGCTGCAGTCGATAAAACCCGTCTGCATCAACTCCGGCAACGTCAGTGCACAATGCGTCCATTCTGCAACCTCTCGGTACTTGTTACCATTATTTACCTTTCTTCCACATTCTCGGTGAACGAGACCAAGGGTACGCAGCAACGAAAAATGTCTTTTACAATTTAACCACTGAATACGCGGCACGAAAGTAGAGAAAAATCTTGTAGTCCGAGTAAAATTGTCCATTGATAACAACATTTTACGAGTGCAAAATTGTCTGAAACGTTGACGTCCGAAGACAGCTGAATATTTTGTCATTTAACTTACACGTAACAAGGGAGTACAATTAAAGCTAGTCGGATCGGTATGAAGAAATCCCTATTTTTTTTATTAATTTCACGAAATGATAACGAGGTCAATTATTCACCAGAAAACCCCACATCGTATACGGAATGGGAGCAATTATTCAACGACCTCCGATCTTCGATATCTACGGGCAACAATAATGTTGATAAGCAAGTGAACGACAAATTCCAACGGCTCTACGAATTTGTTCAAGCCAACTTCCAACAATGCCAGCGCAAGGAAGATGCTCCGTACGTACCGAGTTATTAATTTTTACCCATCTTTCGGCATTTAAATTGGCATTCATTGATACGAATAAAAAAAATATAATCTTCCTAGATTTCAGTCCAGGGCACTGATAGCCGAAGAAAATCCGACCTCGTCAATAGACCCGACAAATTCATCGATCCACTCCAGCAGAGGATACTTCTTGCCTTCTCGATCTAGCAATATCGCTAAATCCTGCGTTTTGAGATTAGTGAGATTAGATCCAGAAACCGCATGCCGTACAGCATCCCTGCTAAACCAGATATCGAATCTCCTGCCTAAGATGCAGGAATTAGGAAAAAGGAGGTCTTCGCCATGGCAAGAGTACGTCTTCCGTTTTTTGGTGACCCTGAGAAGTTGGTCCTCAAATACTGCAGTCGGTCTCCTGACAGCCCTGGTGCAGGGTTTCAAAGCAGTCCTGGCAGATCCGGAGAGTGCGTACATAAAGAAAAAATTCTCAGAAGCAGACTTTCAGCAAGGAAATGCTCAAGAATGCGTTCTGTATCTGCTAAAGCAGAACTACGACGCCTGCACAGTAGTCGAGAAAATCGAGACCCTGACTCTTCTCCTGTCCCTGAAGTGTGCCCACGAACGAGACACGGACACCTTAGGGTTGATCATCTACTCAATCAGGATCCCGGAAATTGGGCTGAACCTTGTGAGGATCCTGGAGGCGATTCTGTGCTCGGTGTCGAAGAAAGTGAAGAATACCCACGCGGCCTTTTTGCCAATCTTCCGGAAAGTCTACCGGGAGAATTCTAAAGACCTGGTGGAAGGAAGGAGCGGTACCGATGGAGTTTCGAAAAACGAGAGCGAAATCGTCGTCACGCTTCTCGAGAGTCGGACGAAGGAAACAGCTGTTAGGAGTCAAAATTTCGATGATACCTTTGATGAGGAGGAGTTGAGATTGATTTCGGAAATTCACGGTAGAAGCCCTAGATCCTTGCAGAGGTATGGAAGAAATCTTGAAGGAAGTAAGGCATTGGACTTGGATTCTAAGGAAAGGGTTGAAGAAGAGAGGAAATCGGACGTTGGGCTTGAGGAGGGTCGGATCGCTGAGACGCTCATAAATGATGGGGATCTTCAGGGATCCACGGAGTCCAGCCAGGAGCCTGGGAAAAATTCTGAGCCTGGAAGAGATTCATCCCTTTCTAAAAATGGAACCTCCGACTCGAAACGAAGATCGAGAGCAGTCGATTCCAAAGAATCTAAGGGCACCGCAAAAGACACCAGCATGGGAGTCGTCAGGTACGTAGATGGTCCTACAGTGGGTGAGAATTTTCAGAGGTCGATAAAAAAAAGGAGCTACGAGTCCAAAAAACCCAGGCAGAGAAGACAGGATCTTCGGGAAGGACTCGATTACGAAGACAAGGAACTCAGACATCTAGTCAAACGTGACTTCGTCGACCAGCAGTTCGATAACGAAACTCTCCAAAATGAAGTGGCCTCCAGAAGATACGACGACCTGTTTCTGAACGTAGAACACCCGAACGGTCGACAATGTGCTCTTCGTCTGATGGATTCCCACGAAGACGTGTGCACGTTAGTGAAGGGACTGACCCTGTTGATGAACGGGTTGAAGCAACTTCAAAGGGAATTTCAAAACGGTAATCATCGTCTGATCTCCGATGTCTATCTGTACCTGGACAGATCGTACACTGTAACAAAATTGTTAATTAGAGCTGGAAGCACCGTGAACGGCATAATCAGAGACTTCCAAGCGGCGAAAAGGCGACCGTTACCCGATAACAATGTGAACTCCTACTATTATCCCTATTGTTCAGACCTTAGGAAAAAAAGGTATACGTCCGTGCATAATTTGGGTCAATCCAGGGAACCTTTCTTCGTTTCCAAGGATCCTACGACGTGTGCTCTAAGTCTATTAACACTCGAAATTGACGTGTGCAGTATCGTCGAGGAGTTGAAGGAACTGAATGTCCTCCTTGCTCTGAGATGTACCAACTGGGCGACTTCGACTCGAGATACCATTCAACTTCGCTACGATTCCTTGACTTTGGACACGTTTTTAGATGTCGTTATCAACAGTGTGTCGAGATCTATCGAACGCCTCCCGACTCCTTTACAGGGTATCTATCGAAGAACCGCTTATCGCATCTCCCGCAGGAGAAATTTGAGTTTACGAAGAATGGAGGAATTGGGCAGAAGACAACATTTGGATGAAGCTGCGGAAGTTAGAAGATCGTTTTATGAGAAGGCAAAGGACGACATCGTAGACCCTGCTTATTTCGAGGACGACGCAAAAGACGAGAGTGTCCAAAAATTGATGTCTAATATCGATGAAGTCGCGGCTAGGATAGGGTTGGAAAATCAGAAAAGCTATGAAAATGTGGGAACCATTGATAGCGAAAAAGGTAGGATTGTTGCGAGTAGCAGGAGAAATGAATTTAATGCCGTGAACGATGTAGTCGTGGCCAGGACAGAGTTAAACAATAAGGAAAGTGCAAGTAAGCCCGACGAGAAAGAGATAATTCAGAAAGTGGGAAGGAATAAATTCGTGGGATAGGAGAAGCAATAGATAATTCCTTCGAAGACGCCGCATTTAAAGTCGATTAGCTTTCTTGAGACCATTATCTAACGAACCACCCTTTGACGATCTGCTAAAGTAATGTGACCACTACAGATTGTATCTTATTTTTGTAATCGACATCATTTTCTGAATAAACTGACACAACTGTGCAAAATTTATTTCCTTGATACATTATGAAAATAAAAATGAGATGGAACACATTTACCATAAAAAAAATTAATTTTACGCCTGTACTTCTAATAAATTGTATGTAAAAAAAGAAGGAGCAAACGCGTCAAGATTAACAAGTCACCACAGTGGAAAATAATTTACGGGCGTATAAAAATCTTTATCGGCGTCATAAACCCGTCTTTATTGACACGCAACGAGCCGTCTCTCTTTTAATTATTAACATTATATTTTATTTCTTATTCAATTAAAAGTCGGCCGGCGCGAAGTCAGTTAACAACTTATGTTCGGCGGCGTGCAATAGTAAAATGGCACGGGCCGTTAAAGAGAATCGATTTTATAAACACAATTAGGTACAATTCGGGTCGGGTCGTTTATCAAAAATCTTCAACAGTGATTTCAACGTGTGGAAATATCGGGCGAGTCGATAAATTCACGCTCCGAGCAGACCTGACGCAGTTTTCAATGGCCTTGCGCTACATCCGCAGAGTTCTCGGTGTCCTCCTCTTGGCGTCCTTTTGCGAGGTGTTTGTGACCTCGGAGGATTTAATTATAATATGGAAACGTACCCCCAATGGAAGTCGTTCTTTACCAAATCGAGGAAAAGCGAAGTCATTGGATTATGGACGCAATCACGGTAAGCAATTTCCCTAAGCAAAGTTTTCCTTCCTGAGCGAATGTTAACGTTCAAAATATTTATGTCTGTTCATTATTTGTGGAAAATTCTGTCGCACCTGTTAAATGGGCTTTGATCCGAATAATTTTCTCATTGGTTTGCATTTTTAGGAAAAATTAAATCCGGCTATCATTTTGACGGAAACGATTTACATGCACCGGTAGATGATTCCCTTGACGATTTGTCAGGCGAAGTGATTAGCAGATCCGCTTTTGAGGACAAACGCGCGTTAGAAAATAAATTCGCTCGCAGAGGCTTCGAGCTTTACGGATCGAATCGTCGGTGGGTACACATGAGGATTTACTGATACATTAAAAAAAAAAATTCAATTTATTGGAAACTTTTTTGCATCAGGTCCGTCGATCAACTTTCGCTCGCCGAACAAGAATATATCTCAGCTCGAAAAGCTCTTGCCCTTGGCCGATCAGAAATTGACGTTCAAAGACAAGATCAACAATTCCAGCTCGACATGGCAGACCTAGTGGAGCAAAATTGTGGGACAAATCTGACGGAGAAGAGAAACTTTGACATTTGCGGGGTGATGTCGCAGTTGAGGATGATAAACGATTTGTTGGACGAGAGGAGTACCCTCGGCAAAAGGCTGTCCAGTAAAAATCTGTTGAGACTAGACGAAGTGCTCTCGGTGGACATCACGATGTACCTGGCAGAAAAAATTAGAGAGTTGACGAAGGAAAATGGAAAACTAAGGCATGCAAAGTTGGTTAAAAGTCCCGTGTACACCTTGAAGGATGCAGGAAAGTGCGAGGGAAAGAAGCACCTAGAATCGGGGGAGAAAGGAAGGTTAAGAGACGATGAAAATGGCGGAGTTTACAACACGAGGAAATATTCCGGTCAAAATAGTGTTATTTTAAGATTTGGAAAAGAAAACAGGGGTGACGAAGGTGATAAAGATAACTTTCAGGATGAATTCGCTTTTCCGATCGACGATGTAGAATAAATCGGACATTTCTGCAGTTACCTCCGATTTCAATCATGAAATTTCTATTTATTAAGCCGCTTCAATCTTTGTCAGGGAACGCGTGCCTCAAGCCGTTAATAAATCCCTTTCCCCCAATTTCAAACATCGTTCCAACTACTCGCAGATGCTCCTCCCGGTAGCTTCCGAAAGTAGCTCTCAAATATAGCAGGTATCTCGTTAGCTAATCGCGAGGTGAAGGAACAGCGTGAAAGGCAGGGCGATCTTGCAAAAAGGATTTACGACCTTCATAAAGCGAGCCGGCAAACGAGCGGCGTGCCCCTCGGCGAGGCGATTTTTCATTCATCGTAAATGGAGACGTTAATCGTCCTCCCGCGGAACGCGGCGTTCTCTTCCTTGTCCTCGTTGGAATTGTAGATCGGATAAGATGGAAATCGGTGAAACGCCTTGGCCCGTTGGAAATTCGTTCCGGCTTTTAGGCCTCGTCAATACCGTCCCCCGTTTCGCGTCCAAAGGCGTACTCGGCGCCCGAAAAAGCCGAGAATAAACGGATTTCGCTGCACCGTGTAGAGTGCAGTTCGTAAATTACCCGCCGAGCGTCGCACGAATCCCGAAAGCGACGCAGCGTCCCGATCGTATATCTTTACCGCTTGTTTTAACGGTAACCAATTAAATCGCTTACAGATGTGGTAATAAGAGGCGGACGTTAATACTGCTCTTTGCTGAAAATGTATGGCTCACCTCTGTGGTATCGCACGAAAAGACGGGAGAGGCTGTGGAAGGTCCCTAGTATTTTCATATCACCTGTCTTCTAATTTAAAAAAGGATGTATCGTGAGAAGGTAAGGACTCGTTGATTATTTGTTACATATAGTTCCGTTTTTCATCGGTGGATACAAAGGAACTCTCGCGCGCGCGCGTCTGCGCGACAGACACAGTGAAGTCCGTCGCATCGATTGGAATCGCGTCGAAAGGGAGCGGAAAAAAGAAAATTAAAAAGAAAAATCTCTTCCCGGCGGGGAATCGAACCCCAGTCTATCGTGCGTGACGGCCGGAGATACGAACCGCCCTCCATCGTTTCAACGTACGTTTGTTGTCGCCAAATTAAAAAAAAAAAAAGGAAAAAGAAGCTAGTGTGTAATTAGCCGTAAACATACGCGAGGAAAATAGAGAAATATTACGTAATTCGTATTTTCAGCCTTATAGGAGGAAAGTGTATGATTGCAGTGACTGCCATGTTGGCGTTAATACGAAGATTCATTGGCGTTGCGTTGTAAGGTCTTATTAGAAATAATAATAATGAATATAAGTTGTGTAATAAATATATATAATATTAATTAATGTAAAATATGTATGTAAGTAAGAAATGGAGAGGGAATAAAAAAATCCTCCCCGACGGGGAATCGAACCCCGGTCTCCCGCGTGACAGGCGGGGATACTGACCACTATACTATCGAGGACTTTGTTGTTTATAAGTTGTTTGAGATCGTTTATAAGCCTCTTATTTAATCTAGGCAAGGGATACCGACCACTATACTACCGAGGATTTGATGTCTACTCTTGAATTTATACTATTCTTAAATGGCAGTATTCTAACCCTGCTCGTATTAATATAATTTCGATAAACCCTATATGTTTAAATCTGAAATTATATTAAAAGCATTCCGTTCATGGTTAGACACGTAGAAATTTCCAAAAATCTCGCTCGATTTCCTTATTTCGAAGGCTTAGTCTTTGTTTCCGTTGATGGCGGGTCAGGAGTCCAAGAATAGGTCGGTCTATTTTGAGAGGGACTTTAATTCTTCTGATATCGCGGCGTGATATATCTTGATATCTCAGCTTCGTGCGCCGGGAGGTCCGGGGATTTATTTCTCGGGTGTAAACACTCGGAGACACTTGATACCGATCGTAGGAACAGAGAATTCAATTTACCGGGCGTAGACGTCGGCAGACGACAAGTGTTATTATCACTTGTGCAACGAGCAGCGGGCAACGTTCGATCGTTTTACGGAGTGAAGCTAACGAGGCGTAACGAACCTGCCGTTGTGGTGATCGATAGCTCTATCTGTAACTCACGTTGTCGAGAAAGTGACCGGTGCTTTCCTAATCCGGCTAAAATGACGCGGCTTTCCGGATTTCCTTGGCATATATCCATTTTCTATTCGATTTGATAAGTCAGCAACTACTGCGAACGAGTACCCGATGTATAGAAACACAAAAGAACACAGAATTATTTCAAATCGGTTAGTTACATGTAATTACGTTTAAGTATAGTGGGTACATCGCTTGAGTAAATTCGTTGTCGAAGACGCTGCAGTCACGCCGGCCCCGAATCGAAAGACATTCGTTCCACGGGATAATCCCGCGAAATTTAAATCAACCTCTAATCCCCATTTGCTCGGACATTTCAGGCAACGTGTACTAAAGTGTTATAGGTACACCCTCGTACATCTTCCGTTATAGCGTGTGCACGATGAAAAAATAAACGGCGACGAATAACGCCTGGATGTAAGCACGCCACCCCAGGAATTATTCTCTCCGAAGCGAACTTCCTCGTCGACGGGCAGAAAAGTTCGGAGCTATAAATTTTTTACGCCGTATAATCGTGTTTACCACAGCTATGAAGTAACGATGGCTGCTGTACGAAACGGCAGTAAAGATTTCGTATTTGGATGAATTTACCCTGCTTCGGTTTGGCGTTACGCTGGGCAACGTGTTTTTTATTTTCTCGAATTTTAGCCGATGAATTATGCGTACTCGTACGTGCAGCCTTTGTTATTTATCTCTCCCTTGATTTCTATACTTCGTGGACTCGACACTTCGTAATAAGGAGTCCATTTAAATCATTTACTCCCTTGTATCCCTAGATCGCTACAAGAGACACTGGCCATTAATTTCCGGAAAAACGCTTAGCGCGTCCCTCTTGACCCACAAATTGAACAATTGAATTTCGGGACGTCCTTCGAGGAACTCGGCAAATTGAAAGGAATAACTTGGTAAGTAGCCGGTAACGGCTCTCTTAACCGGGATTACAGGCCGCCTGATTGCGGCGGGAGTTACGACGAAACTTTTATTACGAAAGTTTCTGCCCGAAAGTCATGCGCGTTGTAAGGAGAAAAGCGGCCATATCGCGCATACATAAATCGCACGCGAGTCAATTTCGCACGGCTCGAAGGCCGCGCAATCCCGACTTTGGGCTCAATTAATTTATGCGCACTGTAAGTCACATGAGGTCTTTTTTTTAAGGTCGGGAGCTGAGACCAGGTACCCTAAAAACCCATTCCCAGCGAACGCGTTTAATGCTTTCACTTTTATTATAAAAAAGAAGAAGGAACTAAAATATTTTACAGACTTCGATGACTAAATCTCGCAATTTAGAAATTTTTCTCGGTGGGAGTCTTATGTGATAAAATGAATTTTCTTAGGCAGAGCAAAAAAGGTCAACTTTCTGGCATTGAATCGAACGTCGAGAGGTATTCGAGCGTGTCGATTAATCGATTCGAGGTTGTCGATAGGGTAGACTCGGAGAAGAAGAGAGAAGCAGGGATGGCGGGAACTGTCAAAACAAGACGAATGTTCAAAACGTGGTGTGCATATTATGCAGGGTGGCATGGTATGCTCGAGTGTCGTAGGTACGTTGAATATGTACATACATCGTATATTACGCCATTCTCGTCACGATCGGGAGGAAATTTGTTGCGATGTGACGACGCACTTCGGATTGGTCGAAGTGATAAGGACCCATTGGTTTGATTCCTCCATTCTACTCACACCCGGAAGAGCACGAAATTGTGTAATACGAACATGCTGAGTCTGTATCAAAACTGAACGTTAAAACTTTTCGAAGACGTGATTTCATGGCAATTTAATATTTAAAGGAAGTCTATTTCTTACTTCTTTATTCATTCTTCCTATTTCCCGAAGAAAAGCCCAAGCTACGCCATTGGGTCCGAAGGCAATCTCATTACTAATGTGTCCAACAAACGTCATTAATTCCGAGCTTAGTCCCGTTTTTACGTAACAGTCGCAGTCCTTTATTCATGGAAAGCCTCCGAAGGACTACCCTGAGTTTCGAGAGATCTGCAGATTTCGGCAGAACTGACTAACTCGTAACGCTTCGACGCTCTTAATGCTTTTTGCGGCTGGCTGGCTCGCAAAGCCGCTTAACGTCCCCGCGAATTTCATTGTTCGATTCAGTCGCGACCGGAAGAGGCGAAAAGCCTTGGCAGAACTTTGCCGAGATCGCGAAATGCTAGAATAGTTTCGTTTATAAAATTGTCAGAAAAAAAAAGTAATGGCAATATGAATGTAGGGTCGTCATATTATGCAACGCCTTATTGTCGCGACGAGGTGGCCGAGTGGTTAAGGCGTTGGACTGCTAATCCAATGTGCTCTGCACGCGTGGGTTCGAATCCCATCCTCGTCGACTTTTTTTCGTTTTATAGTCGTTGATCCAAACTAAATTCTTTCCGCGACGGTGGTGCTATCGACTAAATTCTCTTTTTAATATTTACTATCGTCGGTATATACGAAATACCGCCGATAAGCAAGAGGTGCGTAAGGGGAGTCGAGGTTCCTCGGAGATAGGATTGTATAGGTTAGGTTGTAGAAAAGAATCGGGTGACGCTCGTCCCTGGTCGGAGTGAGTGTTTCGCACGTGGGGTCTAAATAAACAGATGGCTCTTTAGATTTCTTAAGGAGGGGAATGGTTTATGGCCGGTCTTCTCTCTAAGCTGGGTCCGGGTTAGATGTTCACATTTTACGGCCAAGGGTCGAGGGTTACCCCGGAAATCCGAGCGTTTTGGTAAGTGCCTGGTTACTACATAATCTTTAATTTACGTTACAAATCTACCAGGCAATAATAATTACCTAAAATTGGTTCTTACCCTTAGATCATCGACCGTTTCAAAGCGTCGATACTATGGAAACCCTTTGTTAGGGTTCCGAAGAGGTAAGGCGTTAGTTTAATAATTTTATACATTAAATGAATTTATTGAAAATTTGCCAAAAAGAATCCTCCCCGGCGGGGAATCGAACCCCGGTCTCCCGCGTGACAGGCGGGGATACTGACCACTATACTACCGAGGAATCAGATGACTAGTTTCCAGATTATAACGTACTTAACCTGTAGTATCTCGA